GTTCCAGCAGGGCCTCTGGGCCATTCTGGAGCGAAAGTCAGCTGGCAGAGGAGTGGCCTGTGCGTGAACAGGCCAAGGTTATCCATGCTTCTTGGCCAGTCTGGCTCCATGCAGTGGGAGGTCTGTGAGGCCCAGTCTGGTAACTTCCACAGAAAGATTCTGGTAACTTCCACAGAAAGATACTGGATGAACAAACATAGGTTAAAGCCACTAAGCTTTAATGCAGGGCTTATTAGATGGGCATGCCACTTGCGGATTCATGAGAACTGCAACAAGCTTGGCGCTTTATTATGCATACCCCACTATTTCTGTCACGTGTGCTGTGAGGCAAGTTCTCTTTTTTTGCCATTTACAAGTGAAGAAATTGAAGCTTAGAGAAGTTAAATTGCTTGCTCAAGGTCACTTAGCCAGTGGCTGAAGAGGTTTTCAAATCTTTGTGTAGCTTTTCCTTCTTTCAAACAGGGTTTGGGATCTCTTCAGTAACCCTGAATTCTGACTGCATCTCAGCTGACTCACTTACCCTTACCATTTGGTTTTTCCCCCTAATATTCTCTGGTCTTTTAACCTATTTCTAATTAGTTCTGAAATCCAGGGAAATGCCAGATTCAAGAGAGGCCCTGCAACAGGTTGTTTGAATCTTGGAGATGGGCAATGTAGATCAGCTGAGCTTTATGCCCATGTGTGAATTTAAGTACATTTTCACAGAATACTTAATGCATGAATCTGTCAACCAAAGCCACTGCCTAGACTCTGCTGTTTTAAATATTTAGTACAATGACTGAGAGCCTGGCTTTATTATACTATTACATGCCCTTAGAATCTGCAGATAATATGGATCACAGAATTACCATCTCTATAATTGGCTGTGACTACTACCTTTCACTTGTCACCTGAATATATTTGACTTGTCTTGAAGGACAAGGGTATTCCTGACACATTTGGGCCCTGTCATATTGGATTTGCTCATTAATATAGTAGTCTGGCTTGTTAGGTGTGGTCCAGTGGGAGTTCCTGAAAAGCTGGAAATGCTTAACAACCCATTTTCTCCCAGTCCTCAAATCAATGACAGTCTTAACATGCCTGGTGTAGAATATGCTGAGACTGCAGAATCACATAGTGTCTCAATTTTGACTTATGCAAAGTAAGGAAATGTTCTCTGTCTCATTCACTCCATCAGATGGCAAAGCTTACTGAGGAGGGAAGTGCTAGGCAATGTTCAAAGCATTATTATTATCAATGATTGATTTGGGATTACATTTTAAAAATATTAGCCAATGCTTTAATTTTCTCATGGTTGTTACTTTTCCCCTGTCTCCCTTGAATAGTCATTCAAGCTTTGGTGCTTATAATCTCCAAAGAAGGATATGAACCTTACCAAGGAAGGACATAGGGCTTCTAGCTTAGGAGAGCATTAGGAGATGCATAAGAGCAAGGGTCACAAGAGGGAAGTAGTTAAGGCACAGAATAGCTTCCCCCTCCCCCCAAGAAATTATAATAGAGAGCAGTTAACTGCATTCTGGAAAGGCAAAGCAGTGAGAAAAAAGTACAGTGTACTTATTTTTGGTTTTTGAGTAAACATTTATTTAGACTTACCTTATATTCATAAATGCTTCTTCCTAAGGCATCTAAAATTACACTTAGGTCATATATTAATATACTATGAGAATAATATGTAAGTAATTATGGTTACTTAGAGATTATGAAAGACATAAATGTGTATTTTGAAAATTTTCACTTGTGATGAAAAATAAATATTTTTAACTATTAGGGAAAATGAAAGAGTTTTGAAAATATTAATAGCACTATAGTAATTGTTAAACCTTTTAGGCGCTTGTACAAGTGTTATACATTTGATCTCAAGTAATGGCAGTGCTTTTCATGGTTTGGTTTTGAAATAAGATATTGGTTCCTCTCTGCAAATATAGTCTATGAAACAGTGCAGGTAAATTAGTTAGCACATTGTCTGATATTTAATGTATTCCATAATATTTAATTTTAAATGCTATTCTTTTTTTTAAAGATTTATTTATTTATTTATTTATGCATACAAGAATGGGGGTACAGGCCAGAAGTGCGGTGGAGGGGAGGGTGAAAGGATTCACTAGAGACAGAGTGGGGAACAGAACAGGCAGATTGAGCAGCGGGTAAGTCAGAAGAGGTCTTCTGTGCCATGTGGGTAACTCCCTGGCCGGGGATCAAACTTGTGCTGCAGAGGCTGCATTTTGCTTCATAGATTGCGTCTTAACCCCTTGTGCCACCAAGGAGGCCATTAAATGCTGTTCTTAGTATTTTTTATTTCTTCAGATATCTCCATATGCTTTACAACTTACATAAAGAGGAAAACTGTTTTACTGTAAGCCAGAGACAACCAAGTGTTCATGAGCATAAAATGAATTTTGGGGTAGGAGGAAACATGTTTACGGGAAAGTAAGTTCTATGTTTTAAAAATTAGATTTTAAATACACTTTGCAAGTTCATTTCCATTTCATGTGTTTCTAAAATGTACATCTATTTCTTCAAATAAATCTCCTATAAACCAAAAATAATGTTCAGTTATACTTTAAGTGTTTATGGTGACCACATGTGTTTTAGGCATCGCTGAAGAGCATAGTCTCCATAGAATATATGTGAAAGAGTGGGTATTTTGCTATGACTTTGGTGATTGGGTGTTTGCTACTCTAACATTCTTCAAATTCTTTGTTTATTTCCTTACAGGGAAATAAACATTTCCCTATATCTTTATTTCCTTATAGGGACTTTTGACAATCATTCTCATGGGCATGTGAAAATAAAATTTTACATATGTATATGGATATATATATGCATATGTATATATATAGGAAGGACCAAGTGTCTATGAGACTGGGGCAGGATTGAGAAGATGACATAGTGGGTCTGAGGAGAGGACACATGGCACTGTCTTGGAAACAGGAGCTGGGAGTCTGCTTCTCTGGGGATCCAGCAGAAACCCCAGGAAGCCTGAATGTCTATGAACAGCCAAGGACTTTTCTCTGCTTCCTGGGAAGATCCAGGGAAGATCAGGACCCTAGAGACGAAGTGGTTACTTGGGGATTCTCAGCAGTGGGGGCTGTCCATCCTGACCCCTGACCCCCACCCTCCCTCACCACTGGTGCCTTGGATTGAATGGACCAGTTGACTGAGATTGCATTTTTCTCCTTCCTGTACAAATGAGGGCACCAGTTAGAAATTTAGCAGATATAAAAAAAATGAAAGTGCATTTAAGCATACCAAGTTTATATGTGTTTATATTGGCTTCACCCTCTGGTATTATTATTATTAATGCAACAAGACACATGTTTCAGAAAAAACTTTTAGCTTATTATGTGAAGCAATTAGGAGATTAATTCTGGAGAAATATTAGAAAGAGATATGAACAAATCCTCACAGAGGAAAAGAAATGAAAGGTATGCTAACCATAGGGTTTCGGCAGATAACGGTGATGCGATGCAGTGTGTGCTAATGTCAGCCTTCCTATCGCCTTTCAAAGCAGACCCCCTGTTGCGCTCACACTTTTTTTTTGACCTGCCCTTTGTACGAGATTGATTAATTATAGGCATTAACCACATAAAACATAAAAGCTCCCATACAAATATTGGTTTTAGATTTGTGTTTCCTTAAGGGATCACCAACACAAAGATTTCAAATGCCAGATACTTAAACTTCTCTGACCTGTTTAATTATCCATCCTTAAATCTCTAACTCATAAGGTGCTTAACTCATGAGGGGGTAACATTTATTAGCTTAAAACATGTAAGACCAAGAGAAATAGCTTCCTTTTCACTAATATTTTCAAGGATGACACATGGGAGTTGGGAATTGATATATTGAAAGTTGGCATCATACACAAATACAGAGCATTTCTTTTCCCATTTCTTACTGGATTATAGTTCATTAAGTATAGTTTTGTATAATATAACATATCTCTGCTTTTCAAATTCAATTTATTGATTTAGAACTTAAATATTTATTGAGCACCTACTATGTGTCCAGCATTGTGCTGTTCACTTGGGCATACCAGTGGACCAAATTGATTATAAGGTAACCAGACACATAAGGTAACCAGACACATTTGTCCATGTTCTGGGAACTGCCTCTCATCCTCTTTGTACTTATATATACTTATTGCAAAAGTGTTCGTTTTACAACCTAACCTAGATTTTACTGCCATAATTATAGGATGTCCCTATAAGAAGGACCTGTAAGTATTGCCTAACTTGGAGAGTTAACAAAGCTTTGAATTAGCACCCAATGAATACAAGGAACCTTGTTCACACTTGATGTAACAAAAAATGCAGGCCTAACCTTGAACTAACCTTGAGCTTCTATGCTAGGTGAGACACCACAGTGACATGAAAATGCAAGGCAGAAAATGATCAGAATAAAACAAATAGCCCAGACCTTAAGTGCCATTTAAGTTCACAGGGTAGAGAGAGCATCTTGCATTTGTCTTGAAGCCAAATGGCAACAGCGAAGTTCTGTTTCCTACTCCACCCTCTTGAATGACAGTATGTGGGTCATTGAATCATAGTACATTTCCAGTTTAAGATGAAAACATCAGGTTTCCTTCCTCTCATGATTTTCATGGTGAATCATCTTTTATATTTTTGAGGAAAAGTTTCAGTGTGAGAACTGCAGAGACAGAGAGATACCAGCAGGTGGAGGGATTTGCGATTTGAACGCCACATCTCACTATATTGAGGGTCTTGGCAAAGGATTTTAATTATTGTTTTATTTTTCTTCCATTGTCCTAGCTATTTATGCCTCCAAGCACCATTAAAAAAATCAGTAATTCATATTCTGAAGAAGTAAAATCAGAATTGATTATTTTCATTACGTTAGCCAGCATGTAAAATAGATGGCTCTTTCTCCTTTCAAAATCTTAGATGTAAATACATACATTGAGATCTAAAGAAGTAATTTATTGATACAGAACTTTGAGAACACATTAAAAAATTCTGCTAGATTTAGAAACCGTTTAAAGTTGGTTGTGCTAGTGGCTTGGACTGTGCAGCCAAGTGTATGAGTTTACAGGATTAGAGTAGCAGAGTAGAAGGATCCATGGAGACAACCACAAGTTTTTTAAGCATGCCTGGGCATGTTTGTGAAGCAGTGAGACAGGGCTGAGTAAAATCAGTGTGCCCTGGGGGTTTGGAGTCATCTAGGAAAGAAGTCAGGCCATGCCCACTGCCGGGGTTCAGGCGTCTATGGGCATATTAGTAAGCTGATGATTGGTGAAGGCTGAGGTACTTCCTGGGTGAAAGATCACCCAAGGGCACAAGGAATCTGGTTCTTTGAACTAGAGCCAGGAAGAAACCTTAGTTGTCAGAGGAGAGTAGCAAGTCTGATTGGGGCATGGTAGCAGCTTCTTCAGTCCTTTTCCTGGTCTAGTTCTCTGGAAGCAGGTGTTCCGTGGGATATAGAGAGCTGTCAGTAAAAGCTGAAAGGATTTTTTACTAAGCTTTATAAAAAACACTCAGATTCCAGCAAGAATGTTTTATTTCCAACATGAACAGGTGAGTCATTCCCTTGTGCTTCATTCCTGCCGGCCTTGGAAGAAGGTCTGGAGGAACTGCTGGGCTCAGTGAGCAGAGGCTGACTTGCCAGTGGATTGGGAGCATGTGGAGACACCTTCTGGAGACTCCCAAAAATACAGGACTTGGTGTGCAGGGATTGGGAGTTTGGTGAGGCGTCTGAGAGCAAGGCCCAGTGACATTTGTGTTGGAGGTAATAGAATGTCCTCTTACTTAGACTAAGAGGAGAAATAGGCTTTGCATGTATACCATTAACCAGGTTATCATTTATTAGAAGAACCTTAATTTTGTTCTTTTAAAATAAAAGCTCTTTGTAAAAGAATACTTAACATGACATCTAGTCTCATGACAACTTCTGAAGTGCACAATACAGTATTGTTCACTGTGATTGCTACTTAGCCGTGGGATCTCTATCCAGTGCATAGATCAGGTAATGACATCAGGCATTTAAGAAGGATCAGCTTTAATTTTGAGTCCTTTGGCAAGGAGGTGGGAGATAAATCTGCCTCCCTGATTAAAAATGGAAATGAGGTTACCTAGATTTTTGGGACTAGAGTTAAGAACAAAGGGGTTAAATTTTATTGGTGAAAATTAAGTTAGAAACAAATGAATGTGGACTCGGCTGAAGTTCAATGGCTAGTCACAGGGTACTTCATACATGAAGTATGAAGAGATGTTTCCTCAGATAACAGGAGTTTTGCATTTCTGTTGGTGTTCCCCTGCCTCTCCATAGCCCCCACCCCCTCTGTATTCTCAGGCTTCAGTGGCCTTGATACTCAGTTCAAGGTTGTTTGCTTCTACTTGCTCAGACTGTGTCAGATGATGTGCAGGCTCTCTAATCTGTAAATATAAGCCTCAAAGAACAAAGTTAGATAAGTTTTTTTCTTTTGTGCTCATAGGGTCAGATAACAATTTAACTGTCTAGACTCTGTTTCATAGGCAAAATGTACAACAGGTCTCTGGAACTTAGTCCTCTTGCTTAACTGACACTGTATGCCTATTGATAAACAACTTCCCTTTGCTCCCCCACTGCTCCCCCAGTCCCAGGCACCCATCATTTTACTCTTGGTTCCTTGTGTTTAGCTCACCCAGCTTCACTGCAGCATTATTCACAATAGCTGAGCTATGGAAACAATTGAAATGTCCATCGACGGATGAATGCATAAACAAAATATGGTTTATATATACCGTGGAATATTATTCAACTTTAAAAAAGAAGTAGATTCTGCAATATGAGACCACATAGATGAACCTTGAAGACATCATTAATTGCTAAGTTAAACAAAAAAGCAGTCACAGAAAGGCAAGTACTGCATGATTCCACTTATATAAAGTACCTAAAATAGTCACACATGAACATAATGCATTTTGATCTATCCCAGGAAATGAGAAGATTTAATTCTCTTTACTTCCCAGAGGGAAAATTATTTCTGATCCTGTTACAATGTGATCTTCTCCATAAAAGGGGAAATTCAATGTTCCCTGTCCCACCTAAGGAAGGATGGAGCTGAGCAGGGAGGAGAAGGTGAAGAAGACTTGGAAAAGGGCACATGGAGAAGGAGACTTAGAGGAGGAGACACACGCAACAGACATGTGAAGGAGGGTGAGCTTGCGTCTTGGCTTTGGATTTGCACCCAGTACTCGGGGGACTTGGAAGGAGACACTTGGGAGAGACAGTGAGTGAGAGACCTGTGGGGAGGCTGACAATGACAACCTTTAACTTGAGTTGTACTTTGATCTTGTTCTTTTCATCCCAGACTTGCCTGACCCCTTCTGTCCCTTTCCTATAGTTCCCACCAGAAGCTGCCTAAGACTTGTGGTAAGTTTTCAGGCCTCAGGGATCCTGCTTTGGGCCAAACCTGTTTGTCTGGGCATTTACTCCCAAAGAGTTGGGTACCTTTGGGTGGTTTATGGGAGCTATTTATCCTATATTCTGTTTCTATGCACACTAATTCTACTAAAATTCTATTAAAGTTCTTAAACACTAAGAATATGTTTTGTCTTTATGTGGCAGATGGCAAAACTCATTTAGAAGGTGCAAGTTTGAGGGTCTTGGAGTGCCCCTTAGTCAGCACTGCAACAATCCCAGGAGATAATATCTCCTTTATGCCATACATTCCATATAACGAACAGACAATGAGAAGTCTTTACCAATAGCAAGTGCGAAAGGTGCATGCATGCGTAGTTGTGATTGGTTTGCTCACATGTGCATGGAACATCTTATAGGGAGCAGGGAGTGTATAAAATAATACTGAAGTATACATGGTCTCTGTCCTCAAAGAACTCATATTCACATAAGTATTGTTATAAAACTTGAAAATTCTTTAATTTTTGAGGAGCCACAAGACACACATAATTTTAAAACTGGACTTTAATTTGTTACTCCAGTTCCCAACTTTGTATGCAAGAGTTAGATGAGCAGCCTGTCGCTGGGTATGTGTGGATTGGTGCTTCTTTGTAACTTGCCAAGTAGAGCAGAATAGTTAACAGTGAAAGTCCCAGAGGGGCTCAAACCCAGCTCTGTCACTACTAGCATTGTGACCTTGAGCAAAATACACAAACTTTATTTGCTTTAATTTTTTCATTTTAAAATGGGGAGATAATAATAACAATAATGCCAACCTTATAGGTTGTTGTATAGCTATAAATGAGTTAATAAATATCAGGGGTTTAGAATAGTGCCTGGCACATCGTGAGCAGTAAAGGAACAATAACAACTACTACTTGCCCTAAGAAACATTGTAGTGTACTATACTCAAGGAATGTAAATCTTTTACTGTTACTCAAGGCTAAAACCCTTTATAAAGGGTTTATAAACTTTATAAAGTTGTCCCCCTCTACATATACTCTGCAAGCATACCAGCAATGTGTTCTTCTCCATGTCTTTACCATTTTCCAAATACAAGGAACACCAAGACTTTAATCAAGAGACTTCCCAATGGTTTGTTTTAGGCATGTGACAGATTTTCTGACTCAGTCCTCAATCACCCTATTGTGTAGGTATCGTTACCTACAATTCGTGACAAACTGAGTCTGATTGAGGTTGGTTAACTAGTCTAAGCTCATGTCTATTAAGTGGTTGACCTGGGCTGGGAACCTACTTTTTGTGACTTGAAAATCCATGTTGACAGATTTTCAGATGGGCAAGATCCAGAGAATGAAAAATAATGTTTTTAAAATTGGCTGTATGTTCAAAAAAAGTATAAAAAGAATAAAAATTAAAAAAGAATAAAAAAATATAAAAAAAAATAAAATTGGCTATATGGATCCTTGTGCCAGGTCACTTTTGAGTAGCATAGAGGTAATTATTTCTTGTCTTCATTGCTTGGAAAAGATGTATTAAGGTAAAATTTGGTGTCACCTCAGTTTCACCTGAACTGTAAAAGCTCTGTTGTTTTATGAGCAAAATCAGTTGTGAGCATTTGCTATTCTAAGATATAAAGTCAATACTGAAGAGAATTTCCCTCTTCTATGTTTATTCTCTGCAGAGTTTGAAGTTGAGCCTCCTTGTTCCCTGCCATTTTGAATTCACTTTGGTAAAAACAAATCAATTCAAAACAAAACCCCAGGAATTAAAGGCACAGACTTAAGTAGAATTCATTCATTTGAAACATTACCCTGAAAAAAGCACATAGATTGGATGCAGTGGCTGGGGTCTGAGTTATGAGGTCCTGCCCTCTCTCTGCTAAGGGGCACAGGACCCAAGCAAAAATAGCAAATCTTGAGCAGAGAGACAACAACAAGATGTGAAAGAGCATTTTGTGCAGATTTAGGGATTTGGAAAAGACCAATTGTTCTTCAGTTTCTGCTCTCATGATACAGAGCTAGCCTTTGTTGACTGAGAAGTACTTGGACTATAACTGAATGAAATAGGCTGTCCTCCGGCAGAGCAAACAGACAGAGCGAACAGGCAGGGGGTTTGGGAGCCCTCAGGGCCAGGAGGCTGGCAGGCCTCCCAGCACCCGGTGAATCTTTATTCTTTCTTTGGGCTCTCTCTGGCGTTTTCTCTTGGTCTTTTTGTCTCTTGGCTGTTGCTCATCCTCCCTCGTAGCTGTTCTCCAACGCACTCCGCCATATGGTCTCCTGCTGCACCTGTATATGCTCAGTCTCTCAGCTCAAGTGTGCCCACTTACACATGCACACACCATACTCCAGGTGTCCATCATCAGGCGTGGGTAGCCCGAACTCACACTCCCAAGCACCTCTTGCATTCAAGGCCGCAGGTGATAGCTGCACAGGCCAGTGGCACAAAAGCCTAAACAATCTTCATTTACCCTACAGAAATATTAGATGCATAAGTAAGATGAGGATTGAGTAAGAGGATTCACTTAAAGACCCTCATATATTGTATGGAAAACAATGAAATTCAATATATACATATACACATATATACATGTATCTACTAATACAGAGAGTATTTATCATTTGTAGGAAGATTTTGTCAAAGATTGTAAGATGTATCATTGACTGAATAGTGCCTCTTTTGGAGAAAACAAAAACCTAACACATTAGATGGAGAAAAAGTTAAAAAAAATCTCATTCACAGCAGTGTCCATTTTTCCTCACATATGTATGGTGTTTCAGAAAAACAGTCACAGTTGGGTCTAACATGCCTCCCTGTTAAGTGTGGCCATTGCCAATTATCTGTGATGTAATGGTAACTGCTGCTTGGGCTCTGTGCTTTGTTAGCATCATTAGGATGCTGTCAACTAATTTAAACACCAGAGAATATTGGGGGGTTATGCATGTCTTTTGTTTGTTTACATTTCCCTTTTGGCTGCTTTGCTGTTAATTGAATTTTAAATAAGTACAGAGTTTTTCTGGGCCATAACTGGAATCTTTGGACAGATGTAACATCTGAATGCTCTTGACACATCAGTTGTTTCCAAGAATTGAAAATATATCATCTATTCTCAGAATCTTGGCATTTCTTACCACCTTCAGTTGTATGGTTATTAATGTATGGTTATTAATTTTATGTACACCCAAGGTATTATGTTATAGTGGAATATTTAAAAGACGTTTTAAGTGACAATTATGTGGATATGAATTTGTAGCTATCAATGCAAATAGTTCCACAGAGGTAACAGACTGATGAACTGATTTTCCCCTACACCCACATCTTATTAATTCCACAAATGTGCAGGCAGTAACTATCTCTAAGTGTATGCCACCCAGTCATCCTTACCACTGCATTGTCAGCCCTGATGGCATGTTAGAATCAACTGGGAAACTTAAAGAAAACCCCAGATTCTCAGGCTGCATTCCAGACAGTTAACTTGTAGTCTGGAATTGTATTTGTAAGCTCTCCAGATGATTTTGATGTGCAGTGGAGGGTGAGAACCACCACTTTACCAGTGGCTGGTGAGTCTCTGTTTACACATATAAGATATATCTTTATTGTAGAGAATGTTAAACTATCAAAAACAAAACCAAACAACCACATTTGCTTTTGAGAAATAAGAAAATAGGGCATTATCATTATTGTTATTATTAGCTTAGCCTCAGGAAGACTTAGACTATGAAAAATATCATATTGGGTCAGACTAAGGTTGTTGAAAAGGATTTTCTTTACTTGTCCTTTATAGCATCTTTGAAAGTTTCTATTAGGCATATGCTCCAGTGATCTTTACATTATGCCAAAGACCTGAAAAATAATTAGGGATGAAGCTTTTTCTAAAGAAAAAGAAAATAAATGAAAGCACCCATGTGAAATGCACCTGCATCTCTAGTCACCCCTGGAAGGTCCTCTTTGCTTCATCTGATCCATTGGGGTTCTCTGTCATGCTTAAGGCATGGCAAGCGGATGCCCAGATTCCCTTTGCCAAGGAAAACTAACCCCTTCACTTGGATGATGGGCCACTAGCTTACCCACATGTAGGTATTGTAGGTGGTAACTGCACTACATTTCAACTCATGGTCTGAGTTGAATCTTGGAATTTGATAAAGACATGGAATTTGATAGTGGCATGGAGTTTGGCTGGACCTCAGAAGTTTCTAAGATTAATTTCTTTCTGACAGGTATTTGTGATATTTTTCCTGCAGGTGTATCAGGTTTGCATGCATTACCATATCTAAATAGTTAAAAGTTACATATTATGCAAAGCTTGTATTACCAGTGAAGAGGCCAACCTCTTGAGACGCTGCAATTAACCTTCCCCTGCTCATCATCTTAAGCCTGCCCAATCAGAAAGACCGAAGACTTATTTCCTCACAGCTGACAGTCACCCTGCCCAGCAGGCAATTAGGAAAGTATATTGAGTGGAGTGGTCTCCTCACAGATCACATGTAGAAATTACAAGGAACAATTAGGACCCTCATTTCCCTCAGATGATTGCTCAGTATAAACTCATTAACTACTAAGTTGAAAATACAGTCCGGAAACAGAGGGCAGAGTAGTTCATATTTAATACCTCATATGTTAAATTTGTCAAATGGCAGCATAACAATAAATCAATGCATTCAATAAATCTCTAATATGAAAAAAGGATTTAGACAATGAGATGAGGGTGGGTCTAGTTAATTAAAAGAAATAAATGGTGGGCCTCCCTGGTGGGGCAGCGGCTGAGCACTGGGTTGGGAAGCTGCCCGCGGCCTCTGCAGCGCCGGTTCCATCCCGGGCCGCTGGGTGAGGGTCCCACATGGCGCTCAGACCTCTCCTGCCATCTGCTGCTCCCCTCAGCAGTGTACTTCGGTCCTTCTGCCTGCTCTGCTCTCCCTTCTGGCTCTGGTGAATTCTCTCACCCTCCCGCGCCTGACTGTATCCAGTGCTTGTATCCTTAAATAAATAAATCAATCTTAAAAGAAAGAATGAAAGAAAGAAAGAAAGAAAGAAAGAAAGAAAGAAATGGCAATGTTATATGGGCAGGGATAACAGAGGAGGGTTTAAAATGTAAAATGGAAGTTGGAGAGGAGTTTTAAAAAATAGATAAGCCAGGCCTCCCCGGTGGCACAGCAGTTGAGCGCTGGACTGCGAAGCTGCCTGCAGCCTCTGCAGCACCGGTTCGATCCCTGGCCACCGGGTGAGGGTCCCACATGGCGCGCAGACCTCTCCTGCCGCCCGCTGCTCCCCTCAGCAGTGTACTTCATATGTGTTATACAGGTCAAGTGACTCCTTTTTTCCCCCTATTTATTTATTTTATCAAGAACCTATTTTTTTAAAAAAGATTTGTTTATTTATGTATACAAGAACTGGGGTACAGGCCAGAGGTGCGGGGTGGTGAGAAGATTCACCAGAGAGAGAGAGAGTGGGGAGCAGAACAGGCAGATTGATTGAAATACACTGCTGAGGGGAGCAGCGGGTGAGCAGGAGAGGTCTGCTGCGCCATGTGGGTAGCTCCCTGGCCGGCCGGGGATGTAACTTGTGCTGCAGAGGCTGCTGATAGCTTCATAGTGCTGTGCTTAACCCCTTGTGCCACAGTGAGGCCCTCAAGTGACTCCTTTTCCTCAAAATTTCCTGGCCTACATTTTCTCATTAATTTTTGCAAAAGAATTCAACAAACATTTTGCCAAATTCAAAATGTTGTTTTCTCAAAAAGAGGATGGTAAAATCATGGCTGACACTCAATTGAGATCTTAGTAATAAAAAAGGGAGAGCATGGAATTATGGCATCATTAACAGATCCACACAAATAAATAATACCTCACACCACAGCATTCATTAAGAGCCAGGTACTGCTCTGAATTGTTTTACATACATAGTTTGATTTAATCTTCAGAACACTATTGTTATGTTCATGTAAGAGATGCACACTGTGGGTGAGTTTTCATCAGTTGCAGCAGGTATGCAAAAGGCGTGGAGCTGTGGGCCAGAATTCAGCAGTTCTGGCCAGATACTGTGTGTGCCCTCAGCCACTGTGCATTACTGCTCTCAGAGTATCTGATAATGCAGATTGTAAAGGTTACTTAATAATTAGTACTTGTATTTATTAACATGTCTTTCAGCTCCATTGTACAAAGACTTTTCATATGCTGTATCTTGCTTTATGTCCTTTGCATTGTAGCTTCACAGTTGACTATATTGTCCTTATTAGAGAATTTTAGCCAGGGTTGAGAACCACTGAACTATACCTTCATCCAGTTTCTTTCATCAAGTTGGTCTCTTAGCTCTATGTTTTCCTTTATCATGTTCACTAAAAATTGTGGCCATACATCAAAAGATGAGATTTGTAAGTTGTTCATAGGTTGTTAAAATGGAACATCTGGTCATGCTTATCAATGAAATGATAATTTATGATCTTCTTTAATTATTAGAGAATTTTAGATAAAAATTGGGGATTAAAAGGTAAGACTACAAGCCAAAACATTAACCTTTTTAGATTTCATGATGTTTATTTTTACCTGATGGGAGAAAGAAGTAAAATAAGGGCAAGACTCATGACCGCTAAGAGTATGTGAAGTCTATTTTGAGTTGCTTCCTTAATGCTTTTCTGCTCTCTCCACCACTATGGGCCCCAGGAAAGGGACTGGCTAATGGAAGGCTGAGAAGGAAGTGTGAAAGCACTCTTCCCCAGACAGGAGGGGGCAAGTCAAGGCCCTCTCCTTACTATGGAAATGTGGGAAGGTGAAAGAAAAGGTAGGGTCAGGAGACCACCCTAGGTGCTTAATACCCCTCCACCTCTGCTGGGACTTTATTTCAGAGGACAGGTTTGGGAAAATAGGGATAGACTGTTAGGTGTAGTGTGAAGGAAGCTGTAAGGAAAGTCCAAAGTGGCCCCCACCCTTTTAAAGTGCAGAAGTCAGTGATTTTTAGTGTATTTACATGGTTATGCAATCATCACCACTATCTACTTCTGTACCTGCACCCATGGTAGAGTAGAAGAGATAATAAATGCAAGGGACCAGACTGATGTTTCCATGTGTTTAACTAGGTGCTTCCATTATTCACTCTTACTCAATACCCCATATTCTGTGTGTCACCTAAAAGATGTTTTTCAGATAAGGCACGACTATGCCTGTGTCTGATGTATTTTGTCTGGCCCAGCGTTCTCTGAACACTAGTATCTGTGGAAGTAGCTGGCATAAATATTTGATGGATATATCCAGGTATCTTTAGCATGTTCATATAAATTTAAGATAGTGCAATCGGGAGTGTTTTGATTAATGACTACCTCATAATCAGTGAGTCTGATTCAATAGTAAGCCCTCCTTAAATAGATAAATGTACATATTAGAGGCAGGAAAAAAAAAAGGATATCTCTTCCAGAAAATACAGTGATTTCTTGTAACTCAATTACTCTTATGAGGAAATAGTGGGGATGGAAGTTCCATGAACCTTAGTACCCCAAGAAGGGTAAAATATGCCTAATGTGTTCCATCAGGTTGTAAGCAGAAGAAAACCAGAGGACACATGGGACCAATAGAGGAAGAGGAAAAAAAAAAACACCAGAGTAGATATAGATGAGGTGAGAAGAAAGCAGGGAAACCAGGATGGACACAGAGCAGCTGGGCTGCCAACTGCCTGGTGTCCCACCTGACACCTAGACACTTTAGGTGATGTTTTTCTCTTAATAAAAAATAAAGGCAGATCATTTTAAAAGGGTAATAACAAGGTAAAGGGGATCAACATCTAATTATTTAATATCAAATGTATTGTTCAGCCATTCAAGGAAATGTTGAAGGAACCAGGTTTGAAAAAGTCAGTGATGCTCTGTTTTGCAGTGCAAGCATAAGGCTCTTTTCAGGAGCAGTTTTGTTAAAGTCAGTCTCCTGTGTGTGGAGGTAGAACCTCAACATCATCTAAAGTATAAACTATAAAAGTTTCAGAGTAAGCTAAGATTCAGTAGGTAAGTAATACCAGGAGACAGTGTGAGCATTCTGGGGGAAATGTGGGAGGAACACTTGCTTTCAAGAACCAGAGCCAGGGAGGACTTTCCAATGACCCAGTGTTATGATAAAGGTGAATTAGCACCTCCAATAGGCAACCACTAAGAAATGCTAAAGAGACATAGGATGTTCTCTCATAAAAATCATTTATTGGCACACTGGAAATATCAGTTTTCCCTAGTACGGTAGCTGTATGCATCTATAATTGCAATTCAGTGTAAACTACGCGTTACAAGTCACTGGAAATCTAATTAGCTGGATGGACTTAATATAGAAAGAGGAACTATGAGTCTACAGCGGCCCAGCCATCGAGTCTCATTGGAGAGTAAATCAAATATCAAACTAGTGTTGTCCTGCAACAGTTTTTCTGTAGCCAAGAAAAACCAAGACAGACATAAACAGGATAGCACCCATTCAATAAATTAGGTACACTTAACTAGAAAAACACTGTAATGGAGAAATAATCTAAATAAAGTAAGCACAAAAGTAAATTATTAGCTATTTACATAAATTACTTTTTGCCAAAACTTTAATGTGTTAGCTTTCTCATTCTACATCTGCTCTTTTGTTATTCTTTTTTTTTCCTGGTAGATTTCTTGGCTCACTGGAAATTGTTTAAACAACTAATCAGAACCTCTTTCCAGGTCCTAAAACTTCATATTTTTTTCTAAAACTTCATGTCAAACTAAAGAATCTGAAGGGTAATTTACATAAGTTTCTCTCTAGATAGGACTAACCATCACTATTCTGTTATCAGTCATAACAACGACATTACAATTTCAGTTTCTTCCAAACATCATTTGCACTACTCCAGAAAGTTAGGTTGTGAGTGGCAGCAGAGTGGATGGATTTTGCATTTATAACAGGCACAGGTAGTGCGCGTGGACTCAAGCATGTTTATCCTGAGAATGTGAACGCTGCAACTTCAGATCCTCTATTACTGAGAATGGGGTCTTCCCCTCTGGTCAGTAATTTTGTTTTTACATCCATTTTTAAGGCTTAGGATCATTGCAGCATTAACAAACAAGAATGCCAACATCACTACTATCAAAGAAAGGCTCTGTGATGGATAGCAGCAGGTCCAATAATCAAAATAGTGTGGTTGAAAGGCATTGAGTTGGTTCATTTCTGTGATGTGGCCAGAATGCATGGATTTTTAGCATCCAGCTAAGGGATCTGAAAGATCTTACCCCTGTTTATTTGCCTTCTAGAGCCTCTTTGCCCCTGTTTATTTGCTTTCTAGAGCTTATAGAATTTGTAATTTTTGTTTGTGTGTCTGTTCTCCGAGGAGAACATAAACTCCAGGAGGGTCCAGACCACACCTGTGTATTCACCATTGTGTCTCCCGTGTCTAGAATAGTGCCTGGACCATGGTAGGTTGTCAGTGAAAAACTTGTTTTAAAGAAACATACCAACTCATTAAGTCCCCTGGTCTGCCTGTGTGTAGAGACTTTGCAATTTTATTCAGTGACCGGGTTTTCTGGCCTGTCCTAATGATCCTAACCAGCTGCGAACCTATGTGTGATGGTGTTGGTATTTTTGTGCTTTGCTAGATGGTGAAACTTCCCAGTGCTACCTGTACTGCACGGGAGGACACAGGGCAAGAACATTCTGGGAGGTAAACTGCAGGATCCAAATTCAGGTCTTTCTGCCCTACTTCTCTCTATAATCTCCTTGTTGTGCAGAAAGCTTAAGAAAAGAAGTTATCAGGAGAATTTTCTGTTGGCAGTGCCAGTTCAGTAAGTTGCCAATAACATGATCAGAAAGAAACAAAATATAACTCACCTACATAAAAAATTATGTTAAATAAAAACAAAATCTGGGAGTGAAATGAAGTGACTCGGTGGGCTGCTCAGAATCTGTGTTGGTTAGAACTGCTGAAGGTGGAAGGGCTGCAGGCAGGACAGCAGCGGAGAGGTTGGAGGGGAAGGGGGCAGAGCCGGGGTGTGAAGACCATAGAGGACCAGCTTCTGGCTCCTCCTTCCCCCTCTCCTTCCAGCTCTCTGTCATCCGCTTGCAGGCGGAGCTCCTTGCTGTCGCTCTCAGGTGGAGGTAAGAACAGGCAGCTGGTGCCTCCACAGACATCCTTAGGCGATTGAGGCTCTGCTGGAGTAGAAGTCCGGGACTGGGAGTCCGGTGTGAAGCGTGACCTGGGGGGAGAGACTGTGAGATCTGGCGGCACTGCAGGAAGTCCCCTGGACTCCCCCGCCCCCCCAGGGCACAGAAGGTATACTCCTAACTCAAAAGGGGGTTCATTCCCTACTCTTAACACAGATGTTGAAGAGAGTTCTAGAAGAAGTCTGCCTGTGCTAAGAACCTGGCCACTGTGGTGGGCTCCCAAATCCAGGTGACCAAGTCCCTTGTCTCTTCCTCAGGACTCTGACCCTCTCTTCACTCCCTCCACTCTTTGTCCTAGCCCACTGCCTCTTTGCCCTTCCTTGCCCTGGCAAGGCCCCTCATGCCTTAGACATTTTGCCTAGACTGATACCCCTGCTGGAAATCTCCACACAGATTACTCCCTCACCTCCTTCAAGGCTCAGATTCCATGACTGCCCACCCGTTTCAAACCACCCCTGCTTCCCAGCCCTGGCACTCGGTCCCCTTACCCCACCCTTAGTCTTTTCTCCATTGCACAAATTGATTGCCTTCTAATGTACTATATAATTAATATAGCAATTGCATTTGTTATTTGTTGCTTGTCTCCTGTAACTAGGATGTAAGTGTTAGGAAGGCATATTTTTTAAGTTGTGTTTTCTCTGACTAACTCCAAATACGTGTAACAGTGCTTGCATGTTAAAGGCATCGATAGATATTTGTTGAATGAATGAGAAGAACCTGTTATCTACAATAAATCATAACGAACTAATTCATAAGCAGGGACTAAGTTTCTATCCCCAGAGACCCTAGTTAAGCAGAGTAAGAATGAAGACGGGGTTCAAATTTCTGATCATGGAGCTAATACTTCACCTTCACTAATACTACACCTTCACTGCCCAGGCATTCATGGAGCTTTTTATTAAGCATTTCACTTGGTTTCATGCCAGTGGGTGCAAGAGTTTCATTTCCATTGAGATGAAACTAGGGCTCTGACAGATAGTCATCAGCAAAGCATGAACTGAATTTCTTTCCCACTTGTTTTTTCTAGACTGTGCCCCAGTATAAAGGGCTTAGGCGGGCGTAGAATCATCTCGGTGGCCAACCTCTTTCCCTCCTCTTTTTGCTCCATGTCTAGGCCTGGGCCTTCCACGGGGCTCCCTCTCTCGTGGACTGATTAACCGCCCATGCAGCCTTTCAGTAGAGGCAGCAGAAGCTGGCACTTGCACTGGGGGGGCCTGTGCTTACCTGCACGTTCCTGTTCAGGCTGACTGCTGGGAAGAACATGCCCTCCACATTCTCGAATGCTATGGGGCCTTGCTGTTCATCGTTGATGAAAAAGGTCAATGTTTTTCTATTTAGGTCAAGGAGGACCCCAATTGTGGCTCCCTTGGTGATTCCTCCCTCAGTTCTGTGGGAAAAGAGAATAATTGGTTTTCACATGTCTGTCATTCTAGAAGTTCTCCTTGTATGGTTAAACCATGTTTCTCAACCTGCTTGAAGCAATCCTCCCCCTTCCCAGGAGCCATTTGAAATATTTTTCCCTCTAATTACCCCCCCATAAAGTTTTATTACCACAGATATGTGGCATATCTGTTTATGTGCTGTATGCATAACTGTGCTTTACATATGAACAGAGTACAATATTTTTGCTTGCCCCACACCCCCCGAACCAATTTTCACTCCCTTGGGGGAGGTATTGCCCCATGTTGAGAATGTACAGGCTCAACCCTGTGGTTCTGCTATTGCTGAGAGTGAGCTTATTCAGATGGGGTCTCTACCACTGAACCTTAGCAGTAGAAAATAATAAAAACCAAAAATATATTGCCTTTGGGCTTTCAGACTCTGCCTATAACTATGTTGCACACTTTGCACAAATGGTGTGAATTAAACATCATTAAAACAAAAATGGTTTAATTTGAAAGTCAAAATAAAGAAGCATTTAAGTTGAACCGAAGAGTATGAAACATTGGATTTGGGGCCTTCTATTAGCCATTAGATAGAAAAACTCATTTCAGAAAGGCTGCAATTTTTGGCATGTTGAGTTTCAATTAAGAAGATGGAGGTTCTCTATAAAATGGCAGCATTGAAGAAGAGGCTTTTCCCCCTATAAATGAAACAATCATACTGTAGGGGATAGAGTGATTTCAAAGAACCTGCATTCAGATGTTGTTTTATAAAGAATTGTGTCTTATGCTTCCATTGATGATTTCACAAAAAACATTAAGGATAGATGAACAGATTTGTCTTTTTTCGCTTCTTTGAAATCTAGCAATATTGAACTTCATCCTCATCTCAGCAGAGCAAAGAAATCTCAGAGTGCTGTGCTTTTCCCCGGCATGCAGAACACAGACTGTACATGACTGGTAAGAACAGGTTTTTACGTTGCGTCTTGTTAATTCACAGCATCAACAATGATAGCACAAGTGACATGCAGTTTGCATGCAAACAGGCGCACTCAGATTTAAGAATGTGTTTCTCTGCCTAGTGCGACAGTTGTGTTATGCTTCGCTCCTCACTCCAACCTAGAGAGGCTGGAAGGGGAGAAAGTAAGCATGGCACATGGGTGGTGGCATTAGGAATCTAGTGACAGGGGCTCCCCCAAATGTGAACCCCTGAAGATAACTGCACATCTGCATCTGGTGAGCCCTGTCATCAAGTTGGTATCCTGGTCATTTCAGGTAATAGGGTATAATACACACCCGAATAGAGATGTGTGGAAAATAGGGAACAGGAAATGGAGACCCTACGAACCCTGCTGGCTAGAGAAGGGACAGCGGTCAGTGCACCAAAAAAGCTGGAGTGAAGTTCATTATCCTACTGCCCAATTCATTTTCCATTTGAACTGACTAAATATAACTGTTTTTTTTTTCTCATACATCAATGAGAATGTATCCTGGGGAAATTGCTAAGGTGGACCAAGGTCCATGAAAGAGCCTAGGAAACTTTAGAGAATACATTTCAGGAGGAAAACACAAACCAAATAAAAAAGAAAGTCTAGGGAAAATGTCCAATCTGAATTACATTATAATTGCCTACGTTGGGGTGTAAGCCTAAGGAAAACCTTTGGAGAAAGATCTAAGAAAATTACTTTGTTCTCTTCCCCCAGCAAATTGAGAGCTCTGAATTCAGACAATAATAAGAGCATACTTTAAGTATACATTTATCCACATTGGCTTTCATAAGTTTGAGTTTAAGGAGGCTTCTATCCTGAGCGTGGCATTCATAACAATTATAATAAGAATAATGGCTTCTATTTTCAGGCGTCTCTGATATGAGGAGGCATTTCGGCACATCTCATTTCATTTTGAGAACACTCCAACAAGGGAAACCATTGTTTTCCTAATTTGGTCAACTTGGAAATAATGGTTCAATGAAACTAAATAACTCATCTGAAAGTACTTTTCTGGTAAGTTGTACGTCCGGGGTCTTAGAGTCCTGGCTATGCACGGGGGTTCTTAGTGTCCAGCCATGGTGGAACATAGCAAATAAATGAATAAATAAACCAAACTAAAGCAGGTTGGACCTCGCTAGGAGTGGTAGAACTCCTGAGCGACTTAATGAAGGTAGCCTGCTCAGCTTCCTGAATGTATCTCTTTAACAGGCCTTGGAACTGGGGCTCTCATCCTCGACCAGAAGCCAACATGAAGAAGGCTTGGTTGGGGGGCTGCAGGGTACCTGTTGGTGTGCGAGTTGTTGTGCATGAACCAGCTCCGGTTATTGTCCACATACATTGCCCAAGCTTTGTCGTCCTTCCCTAACATCACATCCTTCATCACGTCCATGCGAGCCACGCCAAAGGCAGGGTCGGGGTGGTTGTCATAGCGATCCACGGTGAGCTCCCAGTAGTGGACGCCCTTGGAGAAGCCGGTCTTGCCCAGCACCACCCGGTCATCATAGCTACTGCAGGTCACAGTCAGGTTGTCATTGGAGAAGATGATATCAGAGTGCGCCGAGCCAGGGTCGAAAGCAAACCAGGCCACTGGGAAGAACAGAAGTGAAGGGGGTTACTGAGAGAGACCCAAGGAGCTCGACACCGGCACGCACTCCTGGGCGGGTGAGGAGTTTCGTGTCCCATTTTCATGCTGCCATGCAGGAAGGAGACATCCAGGGCCAGAAGGGGCCCTGAGTCAGCAATTGGGGGGCACCTCCTGGGAGCTGGAATTCTCTGCTCTCAGAAGCAGATGGAGGACACACGACCGATTCAGCAGGGGTTACCTGGCTCAGACTGCACTCCCAACCAGTTGATCCGGGAGTGAAGTGGCATCGATTTTGGAAGGTGCAAGTCCCTTCACCTGGTGACTGGCAGGACAGTACACCAGAGACATAAAGGGAGAGGGACGTGCTAAGAGGCCTGTGTAACCCTGAGGCGGGGAGGCTAGGATCTAGAGTCCTAGATGGAGGAGGGATAAAACACACGGAGTGAAATCAGGAAATATTCCTTTGGCAGAAGTGCTAACATCTAGTCATTTTGAAATTTTCCTTAGTGCTACAGCAAGTTCAAAAGCTGTGAAGTGATCAGCAACATATACTCATGAGTGATGTGACTTGGATGTAAGACTTTCTAAGGCAGGCTGCTTCCTTCAGCTAACTTAAAAATACAGTTTGTGTGTTACTGCTGCAACTATCATGTCAAAGATGTTGCTGGAGCAATAGGTGTTTTGGAGATGGGATGAGGTCTTGGTGTACATTCTCACGGCCTGGTTCTCAGCGCCGCCTACCCGTACCACACTCCCGAGAGCTGTGACGGCTGAGTTATTGAACCTGTGAGTCACCTCACATGCACTTTGGTCTCTGCTATTTGCAACAGAATAAGGTTATTCCATACCTGCCAACAGCTTTTTAATGTCAACTGTTGTCATTCCAGTGAAAGGCATGGGAGAGAGAAATAGGAAGCAAAAGTGACATTGATAAGCAAACATGTCTCTTTGGATAGACTAAAACCAAAAAAAGGGCTCAATTTTAAATGCTACACACACTACAATATTGGTTTGACTTGTACTTTTACCCACACTTCCCTGCTTCACATTTATTGATGTATAAGACAATGGGGTGGGGGTGATCTTCCTGGTATAAAATTTAAACCTACAGGTATCTTTTCCACTTTTCTAAGTATTTGAGTAACTGTTAGAATGACAATTAGACAACATATTGACATAAAATAAGCTGCTGCCATTTATTTTTTGAAGGAAAACGGGCATACCAATCACATAAGTAAAAGGTAACAATCACAATAGGTATACTTGCCTAATTGAGAGTAAGGTGCAGATTGTGGCTCAAAATTGCATCCTATAAAGAGATACTACACATCAAAGCTATGAAACAACAACCAAGTTGATAAAAATTACTTGTATACACTTTAAAGCACCAGCTGAATAGAGTCACCGAGGCCTGACTCATGAAAAACTAAAGCCCTTTTAATGTTAGTTTACATTTTTGGGGAAAGATTGCTTCTCAGCTCTTTCTTTCAAAAACAAAAAGTACATCTTGTTTTTTTTCTATTCAGTACAGCCCTTCCAACTGATTATTGACTCCATAGCGTAAATTTCCATCAACTTCCAACTTCAATCTTTCCCACTAAACTTCTCATGTTAACAAGGCTTACTGTTTAAAAATGATAAAAATTCACCCAACTGAAATGGAGAAATCACAGGATCTTGGAAAAAACTCTGTTCCACATCACTATTCTATGCTCTTTAGCTCTGCTTATGCCAGAGGCCTTTATTGTGATTTGGGCCCAAGTTAAATGATACACATAGAACTAAATGTGTAATCCACATATTAATAAATACATCTGATCATTTTAATAATGACATTAAATGTAGAAAAACACAGATTACCTTATTTCTTTAGATGTTTTACTACCTCAATGCTTCTCACCTAGGGGAGTGGTAGTGACTGTTGGGGATGGGGATGTCTCAGAGAGATTAGAATCACCTCAGGAACATTTTGACCACCCCTTTTTTTGAGATACCCCTCCCTGGCTCATGAGAAGCTACATGGGGTGTAAAAAACTGTCCCCTATTAACAGGTTCAAAGATGTGTGAACTACAATTTCAAGTGATACTTGGAATTGATTTGGAAAATGTTTTTGATGAGCCCTAGAGAACAGAGAAAGAATCATTTAATTTTTGAACTCAGAAGGCCCTTATATGCTCATTTCTAAAACAAGTGAAGGATAATACACTGAATAAAAAAGAATTTTAGAAGAATTAAGACAGCACATTGCTAAAGGACTAACACTTGAAGTAAAAACAAAAATTTAAAGGTGATGGTTTGACTTTTGGTTATTTTACTCTGGGATAATTCACATACAAATGAGTCATTTTCTACCAACTGCTGATTTTTTATGTTTAGTTCCTATCAAATATCACTTCTGTTCCTATTGATGGGTTAGAGCTCAGTGAGTTTGGAATACATGGAGTTTTAAAATTGAATCTTATATGCAGTTTTGGAAATAAATTTATAGAATTTGAATAGGGCTTTTCAAAATTTTAAATGAATCATGCCTGGTACAAATTTTTTTCAAAACAAGTTTTCTGAAATCTTTTTATGCTACTTTAAGCACACCATCATACATGTAAGATTTAATGATACAACTAGAACAATGCTGTCAAACACAGCTATCAAATACTCCAAATCCATATTTCATTTTATTCTTGAGACAATATACATTACAAAGACCATAACAATATATCAGTACATTAGACACGAGTGAAAAGATTTCATAACAAAGCATGTTTGAAAGCCAGTAGTGCACAGAGAAACAATAAGAAACATAAAAGCACAAAGAAAAGATGTCATTTTAAAGAGAGCTTGAAGTCCCTGCATCCTTTTTGCACTGTCATGCTGTGGCCTTCTTCATTCCAGAATGTGGGATGAGCAAAAGAATAAAAAACAAAACAAAACAAACCTTTGGAAATGTGAAATGTGCATCATGTGTATCCGTGATTATAATATAGTCCTGAAGAGATCAAATAGGTCTGCATCTTAGATCTTTTTCAGATTCTATTTGCTAGACAGAGTTCACTGCACAGTAACACAAGTCTAGCTTCCCTAAAATCATCCAAAAATCCTGTCACAACCCACTCTACCGTGGGGAACTTCAGGAAGGCCAGACTTTCTGATAACTGGGCTCTTTGAGTGTTAGCACGGTTAAGGGCTTCTAATTTGCTCCCTTTTGATTGGAAAAAATCAGTCCTGAGCCTCACTGTCCTACCAGTGAGCACAGGCTTTTGCAGAAAATACTTTCACTTTCTGCTCTCTGGTTCACCTGCCTTGTAGGATGCATTCTGCTCTTGGTGCGTTTTGACTTTGACTTGATTTTTTTCAGTAAAGATCTCTTGAGTCTATGTTTAATCAGACCACTCCGCACTAGATGCACTGATCCAGTCTCCCAGACACAGCTGGTTTCCTGGATACAGCAGGGTTGCAAACCTCCAAACTAAGGCCCCAGCCTCCAGTCAGCCAGTGCCGGTACCGTGCTGTGCCACTGCATGTGATGACTGCGGGTCATCCATGGTGCTACCAGTTTGTGCAAAAAGAAAAACTTCACTCATCACTTTTCAATGCCATTATACACTGACCACAGCTCAACGGTTGGTCCTCACACCACACAAACAAGAATGCCACAAACTCCATTATCCAAACATTCCCCATACCAGAAGCAGGCCACAGACACAGAGACTGGCTCATGGCCCGCTCCACGCACATAGATGGCAAGAACAAAACAGGTATTTCAGGGATGCCTTCAAGGCACAGAGATCAAGAGGAAAGGTCAGAGGAGCTCAGCTCACCGGGTGCATTGAGAGACTGTAAAGAGGAATGCAAGCTCAGCTGGTGGGGTGAGGATCTCAAATCAAAGTAGGATCTCCCGGGGAAGCTGGGTTGTAGATTAAGGGTGGAGGAGAAAGGACTCATTCTACGGAGCGGCAATCTTTCCGAAGGCACTGGAAAAGGGAGTGTCTGTTCTTCTGAGTCTGTGTCTAAATGTAAGATCAATGCAAACTAGAGATCAGAAATCTGCTGCCTCCTCATGCAGGGTCCCCCAAGATCTGCCTTAACAATGCATTTGCACAAAGTCTCATCCATCCCCACAGGTGCCACAGGCATTTCCTAAACCAAAGTGGCTTGGTGCTGGGAGGGGATTCATGGCAGGTGTCAGGACCCAAGACCACAGGACACTTCAAATATCACTGACAACTATTTTCATTTCTGCCCAATTTTTAGTTGCAGAAAAAGCATTTTGGAAGGTTTCCTTTTAATTAAATGGAATATTTTTAGAGTTGAATTTAGAAACTTTAGAGATACATTTTACCCATCAATGACCAAGAGGACAGTAATACTTTACCCCTTTTGGCAATCTCCAAAGTTACTACCTGTGTAACAATGCCCTTAGAAAGGTTTTTGTTTAGTAGATGATGATTTTTACCACCTTATTGAAGATCCATATTCTCCCTTTTATTATTTTATTTTTTACCATTTCTAAATGGAAGAGATGATTTTCTATACCAGCACACTCTTGGAATGAGAGAAAAATAGGGCTAAATAGGCAGCCAGGGTAAGAGCCTTGCCTTTGTTTCTAGATCATGATCAGATCCTAGAAATGCCACTTGAATACGTCTGGTTTTCTAATAATAAATAGGCAGGGGTGATGTGCACTAGTCACAAAATGTCTTAATTTTCAGGTATAATAGCAGATTACAGTAGATTTCTATTTACCACAGTCTACTATAGTCTGCTATTATACCTCAATAAGGACTCTCAATTACTTAACCTGGTTTTAGAAGGAATTGTAGTAGTTTCTTGAAAATACTTCTAAATTCACTCCTTTCTCTTGTTGGCCAAATGTTGGTTCTATGCAGTAAGGTGATCCAGTCAGATCACCTTAGTTATTTTATTTTTTTTACTAGTTGGGATCATATTAGAACTCAGTTTGATAGTAATTATTCATCAAATACAGATGACAAGATATGGTAATAGACTATGTCCAAACCACCAAGGAATCATCTTCATGTTGAAAAATAATTTTGTTCTGGTGGCCAGAGTGTGTTCCTGGAAATACTTTCTGATAACATATCCCTCTGTGTTGATCACACCCTTAACCTATTAAAACACTATCTGGCATATTCTACAAAAACAACTAGAGCAAGTGTGTACTGACACGAATCTATGTGAAGAGTCAGAATAAGCACATTGGTAAGTTTTAAGTTAATACAGTCAAGAGTGAGCCTCATTTTAATTTCTTAACTGACAATATTAAAGCTAACTTTTCAGACTTTAGACATATCCTGGGGAAAATTTGTTTGCTTTTAAAAAAAAAATATTTTATTTATTTATGCATACAAGAGCTGGGGTATAGGCCAGAGGTGTGGGAGTGAGAGGATTCACTAGAGACAGAATGGGGAGCAGAATAGGTGGGTCTACTGAAATACACTGCTGAGGGGAGCAGCAGGCCAGATAGCAGAGGTCTGCTGTGCCATGTGGGTCAGCTCCCTGGCTGGGAATGGAACTCGTGCTGCAGTAGCTGTGGATAGCTTCATAGTGCTGAGACTTAACTCCTTGCGCTGACAGGAGGCCCCTGTTTGCTTTTTTAAAGAAAAGTATAAGCCAGATCTCAGAGAGAAAATATAGCTATTTACAGAGTTAAGTCTCTGTTTCCAATAATAATAAATTTAAATTTTCTTTTTCCTAAACTTGACATGGTTTGCATGACTTGATATGTTTGATCATTTCTTCATTCAGAAATGGTAAATCAGAAATGATTTTTATTTATTGCTTCAAGGAGGAATTAGTCTTTCAGTTTAATTTAAAAAAACTGAAATATAAAAACATAGCACTGCGAAAGGAAATGAGATTCTTCTATAGATAGTAGTCAGTAAAAGGATTTTTAAAACTGAAAAAATTTCACAAATTTGCTTGGAAATGTATGTTTTTTAAAAGCAGGCGGTAACAGTCAACTCACTATAATGGAAATTTGGTTGTTTTAAAAATTAAGGGAAAAGATATATACATATATATACATATATGTATGTAAATGCATTTCATAATATATTGAATCCCCAAGTAATCATCTTAAAACCAGTGAAGAGACATGTTTAGACTTTGGGGAGCATATACAACACCATTAGGAATTATACTCACCTTTTCTATTCTCAGCACCAGGAAGAAGCACTTAGAGTTGGTGACGGCACCACTCAGTGGGGTGGGGGCTGAGGGTAGTTATGGCTATTCATGGGATTAATAATGTGACGTTCAAATGGTTATTGCTTGTCTAGCCACAAAAGAATGACCCAGTTTTCCTTGATTCTTTGCTCTTGAATTATTTCCTCTATTCAGGCAAGCTTATTTAATATCCATACTATCCAACCAGTCCATCTTTGCCTTTGCGTTTTCCCCACCTGTGAGCTCCCATACCCTTCTAGCTGGGCTCTTAACACATTTTTTTCTAAGCAGCTCAAAAAAAAAAAAAAAAAAAAAAAGGGAAAGAAAGAAAATCTTCTACCTTGTCATGAAAACTTTCCAAAGAGCTAGAGCACTTCCTACCTGATCCCTGATCCTAGCCAGAGTCCCTTTATGCCCTTCCCATGGGCACGTAGTGCAAATGTTTGGTTAGTGCCAATTGGTCATCTCTACCACTTAATATTATTTGAACTGCAAGAGTCTAAGAGGGAAGTCACTTTCCCCTGTAGTATCTGAGGAGGAATCATCAAGATCCCCCTTGATATCCACTGGGTGGAGGTGCTTTTCACCTCTGGGCAGCCCCACCAGTTTGGATTGTAATTATTGCTCATAATGGCCTGGACAGACCTCTCTGGGAGCTCTGCTCATCAACTATAAAATTGCTATCTGGGACAATACAGAACAGATGATGAGTTCTTCAAATATTTAGAGGTAGTCTTTGATACCCTTTAAACCTTTGCTTTTCTGGATTAAATAGAATCTGTTTTCAGCCTTCCTCTATGTTAGGGATTTCAGTTCTTCATTCTCCTTGTCATGTCCTTCTGGACTTATTCATAGATGTGAATTTAAGACAATATTGAGAAAAGTATTTCCACTTCTTGGTTTAGCCAAATCATGTTTTACTCATACTGAGCATATACACAAGTGTATGTTCTGTGTGTTGTCCATGGACATGGGAATAATGTACATTCCACTTCCTCATCAACTCTTTATAACACAAATATTGAGATATGGAGAAAGCCTCTTAGTCACTAATGTTCTACTAGTCAAGATGAAGAGGTTATTGTTTTATTCAGAACACATTATACAAAGCCATGTTTTGGGTCATAGCTAGCAAACAGGTAGATTATTATTAATTTTGAACACATTGATCATTAGAGAGAGATAAGGAGCTCCTTAAGAGATTTTTAATTTTCTGTCTTCCATTGCATGCATGCAGTGGTCCTGCCCATTGAAGAGTTGTGCTGAATGAAAACAGTGTGGAAAAACAGTACATCAGCTGAATACTGGGGTGATGATTCTAGGACTATCTATAGCTCTGGGGTGGGGGCTTTGTTTCCAATGGAAATGGGTCAAGATATGCTTTTTTTTTTTTTTTTTTTTTTTTTAATTTTTTTTTTTTTTTATAGAGGCATGTTTTATTTATTTATTATTTGTTTGTTTGTTTTGTTTATACATGCACTGGGTACAGTCAGAAGCGCGGGAGGGTGAGAGAATTCACCAGAGCCAGAGCGGGGAGCAGAGCAGGCAGAAGGACTGAAGTACACTGCTGAGGGGAGCAGCGGGCGGCAGGAGAGGTCTGCGCGCCATGTGGGACCCTCCTCCGGTGGCCGGGGAGCAGCCGGGGATTGAACCGGCGCTGCAGAGGCTGCGGGCAGCTTCGCAACCCAGCGCTCAACCGCTGCGCCACCGGGGAGGCCCAAGATATGCTTTTTTCTACCAGCTCTGCCAAACACCATAGTTTTTCTCTTGCCCTTGCTAGATTGCTTTCCCTTTGCACTTGAGATGGGCTGGAGTTTGGAGTTGGGAGTTGGGGTCTCTGCTTAAAAGAAGCAATTGAGAATTGTGAAAGAAATATTGGCTGGTGGCTGACACTTACCATTTCTTGACTTTTGGGGTTCAAGGTGAAAACAGAATGTCTAGGTGTGATGTACTCCCTGTGTGGCTTTCTGTGTATTTCTTTTACCTGTTTGTTAGCTAACATTTACTGAGCCCCTACCCTGTCGCAGGAATCGTATTAGAACTGAGCAACTGGGAAACAGGATGCTGGCAGGAGAGCTGACCATGGAAGGGTCATAATATAGAGAATATCTTATGTTATTGATTGGCTTTGCACTTCTAGGGGTGGAATTTCTTGACTGTTTCCAACATGGACACAATATTAAAGCTATCTATAGATGTTATAGAATATTATAAAAGTGTGAAACACAGTCTTTGTCACCACAAAGACTTATTATTTTGGAATTCAGGAGGAAAAGCAAAGATTCTCGACGATAGCATGTACCAGTCCAGCTTCCTTTGTGCCCTGATAGCATTCTGGGTTATCGTCCTGCCTTGTTGGAAACAGTTTCCTAACCTAAGCAGTTCTAGATGCTGGCTGAATGTGATGGCTGTATTCAGAGCACAGTAAAGGCGGATATGTCATTATGAACTGCACATATAGCGATAAAGATGAGTTTCAGTTCAATTATAAACCAGCTGTAAAATAATTTGCTTTTGTTGGGAAGATTTCAAAAGAAACAAAGAAATAATGAAGGAGACTGAGTTTCCTTAAACGATCTAATAAGCATCCAAAGTCACAATTAGATCCCACTGGCACATAATTTGTAACAAAAGGTGGTATTTTAAGCTTTCTTAAGCATGGCACTAATTGCAGTTGAGAAGTAAGAAACAAATCTGTTTTGAAAACCCCCTTTTAAAAAAAGAAATGAAACAGCCTCTTATGGACTCTGGGACAGTTGTGTACTAAGTCAGCAAGCCTTCTACTCCAATTTAGAATACTTGGCATTATAAGAAACTTACATCAGAACAACCAAAAATTCCTAATTTTCAAATAGATAAAAGATTCCAAAGGACTAAACTATTTTTCAGTGTATTGCTTGCAAAGTATATTTTCCAGACCAAAAATAAGGTCTGGATCCAATTCAGGCATATAGAAAAATTCAAAAAAATCTCTGGGATATCACACATGTTAAAATGAAAAGGAACGAAGCATTCCTTTTCTTCCTGGGCTATGAAAACTATTATTACACTTCACGCCTTGGATTTTACAAAATTCAACAAAATTTGTTCAGGTATGATTTATCTACCTACGGATTTTATCCTGGAAATGCAAATTTTCCTAACTAAACAATTTTTAAAGAGGCTCTGATATGTTGGGTTGAAAAAAGAAAAGCAGAAGCGTAGGAAAAAATGATTTCACTGGGCAATATATTTTTTCCTTATATGATTCTTTATCAACTAAATCCTATCGGTGTTGAATTTTTAGCGTCACAGGTAGATCTTTAAGATACCTTAAGACCCTTATAGGAGGCAGGGGTGACTACTGCCTGTTGATAATGTTTGCAGCAAGTTAAGTTTTCAGCAGTAATTTTGGAGCAACCACAGAAGCAAACCGGAAGATAATAATTGTAACGAACTTAGAGATGAGTTCCAAAACCCAAAGCAAGCAAGCAAAAAAGCCCTACTGAGGTCCAGAGAGGGTAAGGAAGCATCCCCGTTACATTGCCAGTTGTGGACAGACAGGATAGGGACCCAGGCAGGATCAAGTTCCTGGTGGATCAAATTTTGGGGGTGACAAGTCCATTGCTGCTCTTTTGTGCCTTGGGAATATATAAAAGGTGAAGTTTATGCCAGAGGCCCTGGGACACCCTGATCTCACTGGTTCAGAGGTGACAGATTTATGTATTAAAAGATGACCTAACATTATTTCCAAGCCTTGTGCTATATTGGTGCTAAACCTTTCTTCTCTAAAGAGAATAGTTTAACGGGGATTGAAAGGCAAACACATCACTCTCCCCTTTGGGATTTTGGCCACAGTGGGTGAGTGAGCTGAGGTGTTCCCTGTTGTTCTTCTGAGATCAGATGAGGTCTCTACAGGTTACAACTTTGGGGAGGGGGGTTGTGTCTTGATATATCAGGCTTTAAGGGTGCAGTACCTGCGCTGCTCCAAAATCACTATAAAATATCCTCAAGGAGTTTTTGGACAGATGCATCTGGGGCCATATTCTGTCTGCACCACTGAATATTCTCTGGGCTGCTTCCTTTGATGTGTGAAATAAGGATCTCTCATTAGAAGGGGAAGGGTGATGCTGAGAGTCTAATGAAGAAAATGCATTGCAATGTCATGAATAACACCTTGATGTCTCCTTCTAGAAAGCAATGTCTCAGATGTAATTTCAAGAATCCCCACTCCTTTATTGCCAGTACAAAGAACAATGTTGGAGAGTGTTGTGAAGTGGCTCCTGTGGACATTCAACTAAGGGGATGCTTGAGAGTACTCTTTTCACAATAGAATGCTCAACAGGCCCTGGGAACCCATTGCTGGGAGTGTTGGAATTAAAACCTTAACTAAACCCTGAATCTCTAATTATCACCAATTACCTTCTCCCCACTTTGCCTCACAGTTGAGACCTTGTGAATAAATAATTCTGGTTGCAACCTGACAGGGGTTCTGAGTCCCACAACACTTTTCTTAGTGTCTTTCAAGGACATTGAAAGTTGAAAATGTGACTCTCACGTTCCTTTGACTTCCCAGGCAGCTAACCACCAGAAAGAGCACCCACTGCTCCCCAAGGGGAGAAGAGCTTGTCTGGGTAAATGCCTATCCCTGGGGACAGAGGAGCTAGAGAAAATGCAGAGATGAGAACAAAGGACAGGCCCAAGGGGTGGGGGGCTGGAATATGCTAGGAATGACAGTCACTCTAACTTCTCCTTCTTAAAGCAGGAATGTTATTCAATGTTATTCTTTTCAACATTATTTCAATGTTATTTCTCCTTCTTCTTAAAGGGGACAGGGGAGCTAGAGGAAATGCAGAGATGTGAAAAAAGGACAGCTCCCAAGGAAGGGCTGGGATGTGCTAAGAATCACATTCACTCCAACTCATTCTTAAAGCAGGAATGTTATTCTTTCCAACAGACACTAACATAGCCCTTTGAAAGTGTTAAAGTCGGGTTTCTGGCTGGAGTTTCTGGATGAAAATTAAAAAAAAAAAGAAAAGAATGCTGCTTTGTTTTCACAAGCTGTTTCTAGACACCTAGTACAGAGACTTAGGCTAATAGCCCATCTTTCCTTCCTTTTGGTTGAGTGCAAATAGCCTTGTTCTGATGTCTACGCCAAAGTGCACTGTGCTAGGCACTAGAGGCTGAAAGGCTTGGGTCTGATGTCTTAACTTCTCAAAGGCTGAATTTCCCCATGTGATGATGACAATAATAACCATAGTATCAATAATTTTTTCCTCCTACAGGAAGCAGTTCCCTGGCTCTGGGACCTAAGGGCCGTCAGAGAGACCTCCACTTTCAGACAGTTAGTAGCCCTAGTGTATTATTTGAGTGCAAGGAATATACCTTTGATCTATTTCTTTTTCTCTCCAGATTAAAACAAAAAAGTAGTTTGTTCAGACAGGTAGAGGGAAATAGGGAAAAAGAGCCAGGAATGTTTCTATTCTGTTCTCAACGTTATCTGAAAAAAAAATTTTTTTTTCAGGAGTAAAGTCTCTGAGACACAGAATGAATCCCAGAACACTGCATATTAATAAGGCATGAAGACATTACTTAATGTTCTCAGTGGTTACTCTAGCAGATGGTTTCAAAGACTGGGACACAGCGACAATGACTATTCCATGAATTACTTTTAAAGGCATTTGCCACCAGGCTGGTGGGTCTTACTTTTAAATTTTCTTGAGAATTCTTAATTGATTATAGTTATATTTCTTCTTAATTCAGAGTAATTTGGTTTAGAGCTGCCTTATTTGCATAGTGGTCTTTTTAAAAAAATTATTTATTTTATATATATTTTACATCATTGTTTGTTTTTGTACAATGTTTGCTTTCTTTTCTTAGGTTTAGTCCCCATAGAATTCCCACAACCCTGCTCATGGATTGGAAGAATTAACATTACCAAAATGCCTGGCTGTCTTAAGTACATCTCCATGACCTTTGCTTTCAGGGAGCTAGCCAAACTTGAGCTTATATAATAATACATTTTCCTTTCCTTTTCTCAGCATATTCTTTCTAATTTCCATTGAATAAAATCCTTTCTGTTTTTCTGACCAATTAGTCTATATAAATTGCCAGTTTTCCCCTTTTTTCACAGTGTTCATCCACATTTGTAAGTATGTAACTACTTGTGTGTCTCTTCCTAGACTGCAAGCTTGGTGACAGCAGGGCCTGTCTGCTCAACACTACCCCACAGTATACCTCATGTGGGTACTTTTCAAACACTTCATAAATAGATAAACAAACAAATTTGCTTTTGAAAAAAATATCAGGTTCTTATCAATATGATGTTTACAACACAGTCTCCCCTACAAAATTTTGCCTTTAAGTCAGCAAAAAGTTTTGATAATTTAAGTTTCAGACTAAATGCATGTAAATACAAGTTAGACTTGCTATCATATATGAATCATACCCTTCTGTGAAACAGGCTTTGTTTTGAACTTTGGAAAGGGATTAACTTTTGTAAGAAGACTACAAAAGATTTTGTTACAGAGAAAGTCAAAACAAACCACCCCATGACCTCAAATAGCAGCAAAGAAAAAAATTTCCAAGGAACAACTTTCTAGGAATGGTTGAAAATAAGATTAATAAATTCAGTCAATGCATTAAAACTCTGTTAATGGCATTTTGCCTCACTGGTCTCTAGAAAACAAAACATGTAATCCTTTAATTCTGTAGGCTTTCTGTAGTGTGACAGATTAAAAGTCTTCTTTTAAAAAATACACTGTCCATTACATATTTTTTTCTCGTTTTCTGACTCTTGTCTCACTGTTTGAATGAGTTAGAATGAGGGAGAAACAAATTGAACAAACCAAAGTTATGGAGAAAGTATGTGTGTGAACTTTATTTCATCATGAGAAAAATCACTTCTGTGCAGTAACAGAGAATACTGATATCTACACGATGATAGGGTTTTCTTTGTATTTTAGATACATACCTTATATTGTACACAATATATAAAAATCATGGAGGAAGTTAATTTCTACAATACAGTCTCTTTGTTGGAAGAGGACTTGTTCCAGTTAGTTGCTTTTAGCAAGTGACCCCCAGTTCTGTGACTGTGGTACCAAGGATCGAAGTTCCAATCCTGTAATTTATTAGATACCATAATCTTATGCACATTTAGAGAAACTGAGAAACTACATCCTCCTGCAGGATGAAAAGAGAGACGTAAATGCTCAGACTGCTATGCTAACAACTGATTTTCGCAGAGTAGTATGATTTCCATGTTGTGGTACAGATAGAAAGAGTTTTCTCGTAGGTCTGGTGACACAGAGTAGCCACATCGCTGCAAATGATATCCCTGCTCTGACGGCATGCACTTCACTCTTCAACCACACTGCCTTGTACGCGCACGAGAAAGGAGGCTGTCACCATCAGGGGCCTTCTGCTTTGCGTTTGGGAAAGACTCTGGAGGGCCTTCGCATTTAGCGCGGTACTTTAGGAAAAGAGGCAGCTGCTCTCAAGCTGCTACATTCATCCCAGAGAGAAGTTGCTAGATCCATCTCAGAGGAATGTCCCTGTAACCCAAATGGGAATGGGCCATGGGGGCTCTTCCCTTCCAACACATGCTTCTCTTTGAATAATGCCACTCACAGACTTACAAATGCTCCCCAAGCATGTTTTCACCACTAGGGACCTAACAACCTTGCTGCGGATTTGAAGTTGTGCTTGTTTTTAACCATGTGAACCATTTTTGGGGGTGGCTGGCACATGCCAAGGTTTGTGGGAGATGGGGAGAAACTACAACCACACCACAGTTTCTTGTAGCGGACATCTTGAATTTGAGCAAAATCAACATAATTATCTCTGCAGAGGGAAACTATGGAGGATGTCAGTGGAGGGGGGCGGACTTCTTTTGACTAAAATGACACTTAGAAGGTCTGAGAATGTTTTGGCACCGCCCACAAATATTTCTTCATAGGGTTAATTTCATGTGCTGAAATTGCTTTTAAAATGAAAATGTTAAAAGCCCCAGAGGTTATACCTGGTCATCAAATTCAAGCCCCTCTACTGAGATGGACAGCTTGTCTTGGATGACCAAAATATTTACAGTATAGCCAAGAAGTGAAAGTTCTCTAGGGATTGTCCTTGTATGATGGCCTTAGGCATCCTAATCATGCCTACAAGGACTGGCAAGGATGAAATGGTGAGGCCATATGGAGATGCAGGTCTCTTGCTGTCTGGTCCTGGTGCTGCTGGCCTCAGCTTTGGGAGTGAAGTGGAAGCAATCCATGCCGGTTAAGCCAGGAGTGGCCGACAGGCCCTCTCAGGCAACTCTAGCCCCCCAGACCACTTGGAAACATGTTCAGTCAAACAACTCACAGCTGGAAAGAACCTTGGCCCCACCCTCAGGAACAAGCAAGCACTATAAAGCAATTTAGAATCAGTTGGGCAAAATGGGAAAATGATGTGCACTTGGAGAATAGGAGCCTGCCCTAGAGCCTAGACACATTTGTCTCACACACCGGGACACCTTCAGGCTTTCATTGCATCTTCTTCAAATGCAGCTTATTTAGAGTGTTATCAAAGGAAGCCGAAGGCCCAAGCCATTTGAACTGCTGCTGTGGCCTCTTTGGTTTGATCACATCCACATACCATGGGCTCTCTAAAGGCAGGAGAGGAACAGCAGCTCTGTGCCAGAATGCAGAGCAAGTCATGGAAACACGTCAGAATGTGGGCAGTGGTGGGGTTACCTCCGGGCTTGCCAGCCACGTTAGATGCCTCGCAGTTCTCGCTCTGAGGGATACTGCTGAAGGGCCTTACCCTCAGACGTTTGGAGGACCAGGGTCTTGCTGTACTGGCTGACTCCTGTTTTGTTGAAGGCCTTGACGCGTGCGTTGTATGTGCTGTTGAAGTGAAGACCATCCACGGTGCACATTGTCTCCTTCCCGACATACACTTCCTGAGGATTGACAAATAACAGGCGACCACTTAGCACTCTGGTGAGTGCTTGGGGAGGGGGGCATTCTGTTGACCTTTTTTGTAAATCTCAGTTTCCTTATCTATAAAATGGGACAATAACCTACCTGATGAGGTTTGAGTGAGAAATACATTACATCACATGAGCCAATTGACTAGCCTGGTGCCTCATATTTAATACCGGCCTGGCAGCTTAACGAATGGCAATTATTAGCAGCAAGGGCTTAACAAATTAAAATTGGATGCTTATAGTTAGCATTATGCTTATTATTATTACCTTGGCAGTTATAAAGTACATTATACCTACTGAGCATTTTCTTTATCAATGTGATTTGTAAAAAACCAGGTTTGAAAACTTGAGGCTGGTCTCAATGTTGTGTTTATAACTCCACTGGCAAGCTCAGGAAGGGGGGCCGAGACTGCACTCAAAGACTTGAGTCTGGTTTCATTGCAGCACAGAGGGAAGGGGGAGGAAACATGGGAGGCAGGAAGAATGACATTTCAAAGGCTTAAAATAAATCCTAGCATAATGCATCCTTAGCATAGGTTAGGCATTTGCCTCCCTCTATATCTGTACTCTTTGCAACATTATAATGACGTAATGAGTAAAAATAATTTGCATTCAAAGCATAGCCTTAAAAGACTACTCTCCAGTTGGGTACTAAGAAGATTGGGGTCTGCCATCACAACATGCTAAGAATTTTATATGGATTATCTAGTTGACTCCTAACCATAATACATGAGGTACATGTTCACATCATCATCCCACTTTACAAATAAGAACCTGAATGAGCAAAGAGGTGAGTAATGGGTGCAGGGACATGTCCAGGTGGAATTTGGGTTTGGATGCAGGCCATCTGACTCCAGAGTCTGCAGTCCTGGCAGCTTAGTGAATGGTAGTTATTAGCACTACGGATTAAAAAATAAAGTTAGGTGCTTATAGTTAGCACTATGGTTATTATTTATTTGGTACTCATATAGTATATTATGCCTACTGGGTTCTTCATCCATCAATATGATCCATAAAAACCAGTTTTGAAAACATGAGGGAAGTTTCTTTTAAGAGGAGGACAGTTTCTACTCAGAAACTCCTTTGTCCATCTTTGATGGTACATGGGGAGAGCAGGCCTCACTGGGATGATCAGTCCCTATAAGAGGTGGGGAAGCTGACATGAGACCCATGGAGGGTCATCAGAGGTAGACCCTGGTTTTGGTTAATGAGTGGTAGGCTCTACATACCCGGAACTGACCACCACTGCCGTCATCCAGCTCCAGAATGTACCCGTCGGCAGGTACTGTGGACAGAGGTGGCTGTTTCCAGGACAGTGTGGCGCTGTTGTTGTGGGTGCAGCACTCCTCCAGCTGCAGAATGGGGGTGGCTGGGACTGGAGAGGAAGCTAGACAGAAATTAATGTAACTCTGGTTTCTGTTCAGTTATAAACACATCAATGTTCAGGAACTGGTAACCATGTGGCCAGATGGAGGAGCTAACCAGTGTGCAGGAGGACTTGAGCAGAATCTCTCCCAGCCTCTGCAGGGAAGTTCCAGAGCTGCTGTGCTGCCTTTTTCCAAGTCGGCACTTCCTATCTTAGCTGGTAGTAAGGGGAGACAACTGCTTTGTTCTCACTTGCTTGAGTGTTGAAGACATCTTCTTAAGTGGGGTGGATATTAGGGATGAATTTCCAGTCCAGTCTGCTAAAACCTATTTAAACCATACATGACTAATACAGTTATAGTAATTTATTCTGAGCCTTAAATCCCAGTTTATAAACTGGGGACAGCCTATTTTTAGGAATAGCTCTGATGTCACTATATTTCTAAGCTTCTATCATTATTTGTTTATTTATTACCAGGTTTTCTACTTATGGTCTTGGATACATAAGTAACTATAACAATGGATTTTCGAAAATTTAGTATCAAGTGACCCTAATAGCAATTGAAACAGTTTTGAAAGCTCTGAGGAACTTGATATCTTTCTTTCATGGTAACTTGAAATCCAGCACTAGAGCTCAAGTCCACACTTTCGGTAGGTATAGAAATGTTAATTGTGGACCTGGAGAGTAGTGTCGGAGTAGATGAGGACTAAGGGAGGAGGGTTAAAGTGTCCTCATGACCTTGTGAGACTCTATCACTTTGTCACTAGTCACAATACCCTCCTGCCATTTTGCACAGAGCACCTTTTGCATTACTTAAAACTGTAGATCACCTGGGCCTTCAGGCACACAGACAGAGCAATGTTAGTTAACCAGTGGTTCCAGCTGCTAAAATAGAAACTCAATCTATGTATCTGGGAACAATTGTTTTACCAACTGCTCAAACCTTTTTTTTTTTTTTTTCATTACCAAAGCATTAACTTCTTTTTGTAGCACATTAGCAACAGGAGAGAAGAGTTTGGACCACATCCAAGGACTTTAGGTGAACAAATGTTAATTGTGGAACACCTGGTATGCTGTACCAAAATTGAACTCTGAGTGTCTTGCATTGAATTAAATTTGCATCTTGCCAGTCACCTAGCCAAGAAGGTGGTTAATTTAATAGCAGCAGAAAAGTAGTTTCTATAATGGGTAACCTGTGACTACAATGTAGGAGATAGGATGGAGAACAGGTCAACTGTCTTACACTTAAGGAGAAAATGTGATACATTATAAGAAAACCATGCCCCAGTTACTAAGTCAAATATAATTAAGCCAAAATTATGGCCAGTTAACTAGAGGTGATCAGCCTAGGAAGGAAAATTATGAGTTCAGAGTCCAGGCAGATTACTATCAAAGAATATGATTATCAAAGATCATGATTTCTGTAGCCTCAGAAGTCCCATAATATCTGGGTTTGGAGGCAAGGAGATAAATTCAATGCCTAGACTATAGAATTTGAAGAGAGGAGACAGGAGATACAACCTCTTGTGGTGATTCTAATGATGACCTACACATAAATAGGCATCAACTAGGAGTCGTAATGGAGGGTTAACTTTCGGTGACTATACCTATTTTTATATATATATATATATATATATATATATATATATATATATATATGCAACTAATACCTATTTATTAGGAATGAACTTTGTAATTAAAGCTTATTTCCTTCATAAAAAGAATACATCTTAGTATAATAACTATAAAAGTAAAATATAACAAGTTAAAAAAACCATTCTTCAAAGGGCTTCTAGAGAGATGGAATGATTTTCCCTGGGAATATTTTCTCCTAACCGTCCTTGTCAGTTAGAGCCAACCATGAAACAAAAATTCCTTGGATTCTCGTTATTTCATTAGCTCCCCTATCAGTGTTTATTTTCCCTTTGTTCGTGTTTCAGGCAAGTTTACATTTCATTAGTTTTAAAATCAAAGAGTAATATTACAAAGTGGTTTCAAGTTGAATCATACAAATAATTGCAATGTCTCTGGTAAGAAAATAAAATTTCCCTGAATAGACATAGGTATAATTAAAAGATTAATTGAAACACATGGTGTCATGTATAATTAAAACATATGAACTTCACATCAGTCCTTAGTGGATATTCTTTAAAAAAGACCAAAAGATAGGAAAAAATTCTAACCACTCACTAATCCTCAGATCTTATTATGTCCCAGATTTAAACAAATAAGCAAACAAAAAAGCAAAGTGAGAGAGAACAAAACCCAGAGACATTAGCATGTGTCTAAATCTATTTTCCAATGTGCTAATAATTCATTTTTTCTTTTGTCCTTATTTACCCCAAGTGATATTGCATATGAAAGGCAAATGTGACAAATTTACAGACTCATTAGCCAAAGCTAAGGTTGACATTTTAGAAAAACAGATTTTATAATGGGGTTATATTACTCAATTTCATTTTATTAGGTATAAAATAAATGGTCTGCAAGAATCAGAAGTATTTCCAAATTAATTTATCTTTTGTGTTTTGGAAGTTGATAACATCACGTTTCCTGGGCTGAACACTAAGAATGATTTAGCTTATAGACTATCATGGCATCTGGACTGCCACCGCCACCTTAATCTCAACAATTTTATGATCACTCCTGAGCATCTTTGTTTTTCCTTAACTAATTCTAACCAGATCAGAATTCTAGTACTTAGTATCCTTTTAGCCTGTGAATTTAAGCCTGTGTCTCAAAGTCCTCCTCTTAGATACAACAGAACAGCTGTTTCTGCTGGCTTCTTTGAAGGGGTCTGGTGGAGCTTTGGCTCAAATTAAATTCTATAATAGAGGCTTGTTGTATGAAGGTTTTCAAATATCTCCCCTTGTTAAGGCAATTCCAGTTCAAGCTATACCTCACATTTTCATATTTTTTTAATACCTTTCTCTAATCTTTCAGATTGTAAACACTCATAACCATCCAGAATTCTTCTGTGAGTTAACAGGAGTATTCTGAGAATATGTTAAGAAAAAGAAACTGGCTTCACAACCCTGGCTTGGAAAAATTACTGGATGTCAGATAGTGGGGTAAGAAGTTAACATGTATTACAGTCACTGAATTTTCACACAATCCTGCAAGGTGGGTATTGTTACTATTTTTTTTTTTTTGGTAGCTGATGAAATGGAAACACAGGCAGGTTTCATGACTAGTAAGTGGCAGAGCTGGGATTTAAAATCAAGCAGGCTGGCTGGGTCTGTGTGCCTGCATTGCATTCTGCTGCCTCTCCAGTCTGAAGGTTAGTGATAGTGTACTAGAGGGAAGTCCCATACCCACTTCCAAGAGGAGAGTTTCTTTTTTGTTTCCTACAGGTAGATTTAAAACAAGTAGATGAATGACATATTTTACCTTAAGAACTGTGGTTGTTGAGAATGTATTTTCTGAGCCATTTTCTCTGAAGTTTCCTCTATATTCCTTTTTATGAACAATACCAAGGGCATATGAGGAAAGTTTGGAAACAAGCCACTTCTGGAAAGCTATCACTTTGCTTGCTTTATGGACATGCATTTCAGGCCCCCAAACCATGAACAGATTATGTGCATGAACAAATAACATGCAAGTCAGTGTGTGTGCTCATCCCCATCACTGCCAAGCCTCTGGGCACTCTTTCTCCATGATTTATTGGAGGTCTGTTTAGATCGCACTGTCCTTGTTTGTGACCTTGATGAATATTGAGGGCTTTTACATTCAGTGTGAGTTAATGAAGATAAATTTGTGCTAAGATGAACAGAGGCACTTAGAGAGATTAACAGCACTTGTATCTGTGTGCTAGAAAGACTTGGTGGAATATTAGGTCCCTGTTTTTTTCTGGTTCAGAATGAAAGCACTGGCATTTCATTTCAGTACTAACTCATGAATCTTGGGATACTTTGGATACCTAGACAATTCTGGGCTAAGATTTTTCTGGGAGAGGGTAGATATATGAAATCTATTCTGAACCAAACATTAGAGCTGTTAATGGACAAGGAAAATAATCTTAAAATTTCCTTCCCAATTTGGGAAAATATTGACAATACCAACTTAGAATAAAGGGGAAAATGTTTTTATTATTCTTTAACAAAAACAGAAACCAAAGCTTAATTCATTGTTTTCTACAAAAGAAAAAGGATTAAGCACCATTCCCAATACTCTGGAAAGAGGTATAGATGATCATCTAACCAAAATGCAAACAGAAAACATGTCATTACAATTTAGGGGTGCTTGAACAAAGAAGGTATCAGCTTTCTACATTCCTATCTTAATTGCTTGAGGGTGATTTGGAAACAGCTATTATGAGAATAATTTTAGGCACTGCAGTCTTACTAAATGTACCTGGTCTAAGTGGAAACCAATAACAGACCTATTTACATTTAAAAACAAACAACAGACCTATCTTCTTTGATATCAAGAAAAAAATGCAATTTCGATGTCTTGAAATTTCATTGTTTTGAAGTAAACATTAAGTCAAAAAGTAAACAGATTATTTTAGTTGTCAGTGTGAGTCCTAACTTTAACTGCATATTTCAAGTAACTTTGAAAGTATTTTAACTTCTATTGTAATCCACTTAGCAGTTATAAAACATTGAATTACATACATTATTAATTTTACAATAGTCAGATTACTTTTCCAAATGCTACTTAAATTTTGGCCATTTGTACATGAATTTTGGGATGGGGTTTCTTGGAATTTTTTTTGTTTTACTGACAAGCTTATTGAGCTAAGAGTATCCTAAAAATGTAAAAAGACAAACATTACCCCAGGTACCATAGTGGATATGTTAACAGATCTCAAAGAGGCCAGCAGAAGTCTTAGCTACAGTCAATCAAGTTTTGTTGCATCATGACCTTTTGGCTTTTTCTTTCTATGGCAAGGATCTGACAGATAAAAATTATTCAGATTCAATAGAGAATGGGTTCTCATTGTATTAATTAAACGTAATGGACACTAACCAAAGCATATAAATTAAATCTGCAGAGGGATAATAATCAGAAATAAATTAAATTAAGATGAAGTGTTAAAAAAAAAAAAGGAAAATGGAATAATCCTGTCTCATACCAAATGGTCTGTTATATTAACTTCAAAAATAACTTGTCCCAGATAATTTTGTGTTCCAGGTGAGTTTCTGTTGCATGAGTGTTCTGAATCTCAGCCTTTAGAGTGCTTGGCATTCTCTGCTGTATATGCAGACTCAATAGGATTGCACATACAGCCGTGCCCACGCTTATTTCTGTGTGTACCCCTAATGCCCCAATGATAACATTTTAGGAATGCAGTCTATGATGGACAGAATATGAACCTGCAGTTCCCATATCAGATGAAGGGCCTGTTTACTCTAACATGATTGTTTCCATCCTGCCAGTTGGCCTGGATTCTAGATGGGCAGATGGACATGACTCAGAAAGACAACAAATGGGCTCTCCAGTTTATTAAAGCATTTCAAGGCCTTGAGGCTTTTACCCTCAATATACCTCTCTCCTGCCCATCACCAAGGCTAATTGAGTTGGCTCATTTTTTTCTTTTCTATCAAAAGCCCTTATATTACCCTTTTGTGACAGATTTTATCCTATGAGCTACTTGGGATATAACCTGTCAAAGTTTTACCTCATTGGAAGAACTGGATACAGAGAGAGGCTGATGGAGGGGAATTTATCTGGGGCTTTATCCATTATTCAGGAGGGTTGTATTTCACAGGAAAATGTTAAAGAAAAAAAAAAGAACCAGAAAGAATGGTTGCAACAAAAAAATTAAATTGCTTAAGTTTAAAAGAGGAATCCAGTTATTCTTTGAAGAAGCCACTTAGGAAGACACTAACAATATAGCACATACTAGAAGTTGCAGGCGTGGCTTCTGGAGCCGTGCTTTCTGGGTTTGAATCCTGGCCCTACCATATCTTAGCAATGTGAATTCAGACAAGCAACCCCAAATTCCTGTGCCTCAGTTTCCTCAGCTGCCTACTAGGATTGTGATACTCCATGTTAAACACTTAGGAGAATATCTGGATTGGTGAACTGTCAAGAAATGTAAAAGATTTTTATTTACAATTTATACACTGTTTACTTCCAAAATTAAGGCATCATCTCAAAGCAACACATATTAATAGGAAAACTGAATCATAACTTCATTAAAAGAAGAGAAGAAGTATATCAACCAGGTACAGGATGAGTTTAAGTGTGTGACATAAGCCATAGTATGTGGTCCTACAAATTGCTGGGTTATATGGTTCTCCCCGGTAAATGGAAACATACAAATTGTTCTTAAGAAATAAAATTTAGGCACTGAATTTGAAGCCATTGGTTAAGTGGATACTGAAATTGGAGAAGCCAAGAGCAAATCAAATTCTTCAGTTTTAAAACACATCAGAAAGTGACAAAATTATAGAGATGGAGGAGATTATGCTGCCAGGGACTGTGGATGGTGGAGTTGAGGGGCATGAGTGTGGCTATAAGGGGGTAGCAGGAGAGATTTTTGTGGTGAGGGAATAGATCAGTATCTTAATTGCAATGGTGGGTACACAGATCTAACGTGATAACATGGCATCCAGCTACACACACACTCTGTGCCAATGTCCAGTTCCTGTTGTCTTTTGTCCCTTCCTACCAAGTGGAAGAAGGTCATCATCTATGAACCAGGAAGCAGACTCTCACCAACACTGAATCTACCACTGTCCTGATCTCGAACATCCTAGGTTCCAGAAGTGTTAGAAATAAGTTTCTATTGTTTATAAGCCACCAGTCTGTGGAATTTTGTTATAGCAGGTCAAATGGACTAGGACTCAAGGACAGAGGCATGGAATAGACTTTCCTCGAAACCATCAAAAGGAACCAACCCAGATAACACCTTGATCTTGGACTTCTAGACTTCAGAACTATGAGACAATACATTCCTGTTTTTTAAACCACCTAGGTTGTGATCATTTATTACAATAGCATTATTAAACTAATACAGAATATAGATTCTTTTTGGGTATATGATAAAAGACCTAAATTTCCCGGTTTTGATGTGATAATTGTATAAGATGTAACCATTGATGGAAACTGGACAAAGTGTACATAGGACATTTCCTTGCTATTTTTGCAATTTCTTGTGAATGTATTATTTAAAAATAAAAAGTTAAAGATCATAAATATTTTTCAAATGGATATTATTTACCTCCCATCAAAATATCATTGCTTGACTTGAGTTTTATTTTTCTTTGAAAGAGTTATTTTCCTTAAATAATTTAAAGTACCTATATCCCCAAATATCAAAGAGATTTTCTGTACCTCTTACTCACATAAACCAAAAAGTTAGGAGGTTGAAGTTTATTTCAAAGTTTCATTTTTCTTTTGCATCCTGGCTTGTATGTTCCTGACGAGTATGGCAAGTGGATTGTGATCCTCTCCAATCTCCCCCCACCAACTTGACTGTTCACTCTTATCTATGGAGAAGCAGTCATTTCAATTCTGAACTCCTTTGATTTATATCAATATTTCTGAATTCGTTTCTGTAACAAGATTTTTTTTGGTGCAGTATACCTCTGTATCTCTTTTTATGTCAGCTATTCTATAATGCTGAACATGTGAAATCTCCATGACTCTCAAGGAGGCAAGCATTGAGTTTATCTGAATTTTATCTGACTTTCTGAGAGGGGGAGTTTACATAGCTCCAAGGACACAATTCCATTACATGATAAGATAGGAGCCACTCAAGAGGTTTGAAATATTAACCAGAGGGGTGTGTGTGTCTGTGTGTGTTTACATTCCCACCTCTCAAGTGATTATAAACTTGGTAGTTGCCTTTTGTTTGTGGCAATTTCACACACAGCCTTTATCCTGCCTCAGGTATCAGATTTCAACTTGAGCTGTTGCTGTGACTGGGGCACGTACCTTTCATCTGCACAAAGTCAAGTTGGTGGATGGACTGCAGTAAAGGGCTGTTGTCCAGACTCAAGTCGAAGTCGGTGGTCATTCTGGGAGTGAGCGTGCCTTTCCCCCACTGGTCCTCGGTCAGGTGCACTCTCCTTATGAGGGCGTCAGAAATCTAGTCACATCAAAGACCACAGCCTAAGAAATACAACACCACACCAGACACAGAGCCCTGCTCCTCTGCTCTCCTGGGTCATTACCACCGAAGCGCTTTGGGATCCACATCTTCCCTGACTGTGTGCAGCTGGTGAGGATCCTGTCATGACAAGGGTGACTCAAGATTTATCACCAAATCTGGACACTTTTGTGAGTCCAATGGGGCCACTATAAGTAATTAATAGCTGTTAACCAATCTAATAGACAAACCTGCTATTATATGCTCTTGCTATTAATGACTGATCAACTGAAAGCCAAGTACATTAAATAACATTATGTTAGTGGTTAATCCTAATAAAGCCAATAACCCTAAGTTTCCCATATGAGGTGTGTGTATCTGGTCAAGACTTAAAAATAAGTTTTATAAAAGGTTTAGAAAGGCTGCATATAAAATGTAAAATGAAATTTCTCACATCATCTTCATATATCACTCTGTTCTTTAGTAGGGAACTCTTTCATTTCTCATATTTACTCGCCTGTGTCACTCTTGAATAGTTTGGTAATGTGTGATTTGCAAAGGATGTATCTATTCCTTAATAGATGGTCCCTTAATCACTGGATCACAACTTAAGTAGAATTTATTTGCTATCATAGCATCTCACTGAAACAATTAACATTGAAGAAATGATGAAACATCTACGAAATGAAAAAAAAAAAAAAACTCAGTTAATTTGAGAACTAAGTTATTGGCCAGATGATGGAGTCAAGAAGGTAGAAAACTTGCATACCTAGACATTTCTAGCTGATGAAACTATTCAAGAGGTATTAGTATAACAGGACCCAATTCTTAGATAAGGCAGTAACTCTGCTTTGGAGGAACTTAAAGGGATTTATGTTTTCGTGACTAAACACAAGAGTGAAAACAAACCAAAAGCCCATATACTTCTTCATTTTGTAGCAAATGGTGATGTGCTTTCAGAGATTTCAGGAAGTCAGTGGAGTTCAGCACCCATAAGGAGACTGTGTGCAATACGAAGTAGGTTCCTTTATGGAGGGACCCACACCCAGCCAGGGCTTTTGGGTGTCTGACCTTGGTGTTATAGACTCAATCTGAAACAGAACCCCATTGAAACTTACTTGTAAAAAGCCACTAGGATCATTTTCCTTAATCACCTCCAGGCAGTATTCCATGAGACCTGTGGTCTGGCGCAATTTCACTGTGCAGTGAGAGATCTGATCTCGAACCACCTAGGATTGATGAGAGAACAGAACAGTCTAACAATGGCAAAGGGTAGAAAGGAATCAAACTGGGACTGGAAAGATCTGTCATGCCATAATCCAAGAGCATCATGGGATGATGGAATGAAACTGGTTTTGTGGCAGTGTCTGCTGTGGACAATAGCTCTGGAAGACAGATGGGCTAATGGCTCTTACAGGAACTTGTAACTATAGAACCCATCAGAAGGACATGCTGATTACCCGAGCACCTTTCCTGATCTGGCTCCCCTCTTCTGAAAAGCTGTCCTAAGCTGGAGGTCCCAGAGAATCCCTAAAGGAGCTCAGCAACCAAGGGTGCGGCTGCAGTTTTTGCTCTGTGACACAGTCTCCTACCTTTACCCACCCTCTGCCTGTCTCTTCTAAATAGCAGACGTCATCATCTGAACCCAGTTTCTTCCTCCTTCTGATTCTGTTTCCTTGGGTGGGTGGTGGGGTGGGGCTAGAGATGGAACTTGCTAAAAGGCAATGAGCTAACAGCAACCAGTAAGCCAGAGAAAGATGGATGTAGAATTAAGTTTTAAAAACAACCCTTTTAGAATCACCACCTCATTCTGGAAAGCAGCTTTAAGGGCTGCTTCATTTGCCAGGCTGTGAGTCTGCTTTCAGCTACAACGGCATCTCTCTAAACATGCAGTTTCTGTTGGGATGTTGTCTTTTCTCAGTGTCAAATGTATGACAGTTCTTGAAAGGTGTCTATCTTTAGAGATGTTCATCTTCTGTATTGTCTGCTCAGTTGTTTTTGATGCAAAGGGTTGAACTAGGGTTTTCTAGGAACTTCAGTTATTCACATCCTTGATATTTGTATCACTTTGCAAAAACTTCCAAAATACCCAGCATCCCAGATTTTATGGCAAATAACTAAAAGTAGTTTTAATATTAATTACTTAAAACTTTTGTTTCCTTTCATATTTGATTATACATTTATTTTCTATTAGAGATTATTATATACAGTTTCTAAAACAATCAAAAGTAGATGGGAAAAAATAATCTCATTCCTATAATGCAAAATTTAAAAGTATTTGGTAAGTCTTTGATTTTTTTTATAATAAATTTTATTTTTATATTCCCCATACAATTGCAACCCCCTTATTTTGAACCCAATCCCTCCCCTCCCGCCCCCTACCCCCCATAGAGTGTCTCTGGTTCATAGTTTTTTGTTGATTTTGATTTTCTCTTTCTTATAGTTATTCATTTTCCTGGTCCCTTATTTAAGTTTTCTAGATTCCTGCTATGAGTGAGACCATCCGGTATTTTTCTTTTTCTTTCTGGCTTATTGATCTTTTTTGAGTTACATTTTGTATTTGCTGCTTGGTGTGGGTCCAAAGTCATTCTTTGCATGTGGATAGATATTTTCCCAGGATGATTTGTTGAAAAACAGCCCTTTCCCCAACGAATGCTTTTGGAATCTTTGTCAAAAATCATTTGACCAGGTAGATGAGAGTTTATTTCTGGGATCTCTTTTAAATTCCAGTGGTCCAAGTGTCTTTATGCCAGTACCACACTGTTTTGGTTGTTGTAGCTTTGCTGTAAATTTTTGAATCAGGTTACATATCTGGTTCTTGTGGGGAGAAAATGCTATATGCAAAATATATCAAATGCAAGACAGGTGTCATCTAGCTAATATACTACTCCTCTCTGCTATATGATATTTAATTAAATTACTCCCAGAAAGTGCTTTTATATTTTGGTAGCCACTTCAATGCTGCTAAGTAGTAGAAATTTTAGCAGTTACTATTCAATATCCAAATGGTATCTATCCTGTGACTATGTGTCACTGACTGCTTCTGAATGTCTGAAAAACAAGCAGAGAACAGATCTGAACATTATAATCCAAAGTGAGTTTGCTTTTGAGGCAAAACAGAATGAATTGTTGTATTTACTTCTTGAAGTATTCAGCTCAATGATAATTTTTCCCCTAAGTGTGCTGAAATTAAAATGTTACTCAGTCCTCATAAAATTGTGTCTCCATCTATAAGTTTCCTTCTCAGGCAAGTTTTATGTGGTGCCAAAGGAGCTGTCTGAGTGTTGGGCCTCTCTCACTACTGCTTAAAATCTTCATTGTGTTGCCAAAGATTGGGTGAGTGCCAGCAGGGGTTTGTCATTGGTTCCTGAATTCTCTGGGCTGATTTTCTTGGAAGGACTCAATATCCCTTAGTTCCTGGCTTGCAACTTCCTCTGCTGTTCCAGTGGATTTTGCTCAATTCTTTTACATTTTATTATTTATTTATTTATTTATTTTTTGTGGGACCCTCGCCAGTGGCTGGGGATCGAACTGATGCTGCAGAGGCTGCGGGCAGCCTCGCAATCCAGCACTCAACCACTGCACCACCAGGGGAGGCCTTCTTTTACATTTTAATCAACTATTTCAGAGTGATCACAATAGCTCATGACAAATATTGCTACTAAATATTAAACTCCAAGGTTCCTAGAAGCAGTATTTTGGGGTGTGTGATAACTGAGTTCTAATTTTTCAATTTAGCAAGATTTCCCACCTTATGGAAATAAGCCAAATAACTAGATCTTTAAAGAGTACAAATAATTTTTTCTCTAATTGCAACTCTTTAGACTGTGTTATTTCCACCATTTATAATTATTACTATGACTTAGTTCTATGTTAATTCTTTTTTATGGAAGAAAATTCCTAGGAAGGCAGGCATTGCCACTTTTTCCTTGAGTACATTTCTTTGCTCTAGAGAAACATTGGCACCATGTTTGTGGCTAGACTCGAGTCTGTTTTCTTGGGAAATGTGCAAGTTGCTGCATGACACAAATAGAAACTGGAAAACAATCCTCCTGCCTTCATCTGCATTAGTGGTGATACCAGTTTTCTTGGGGCAGTGAATTAATCTGTAATCCACAGTTTCAGAGAAGGCATTACAATTTTATCAGCATTCACCATCTATTCTGGACGGTAAGTACCTTTTGGTCATTTAAACAGTTTTATTTTGCTAAGTGGAAAATTTATAAAGGCCACTTCCTGGGTCAGGATATAAGGAGAATCTGGGAATGAATTCTGAGACTTTTTCAGAAGCACAGAGTAACCAACAGTAGTTTCTAAAATATAAATGTGAAGTTTTGTTCTACCAATCTACCATTATATTTTCCCATTGCATCACTAGCAGGCTAATGTCCTTCCTCTACTCAGTTCCTGTGATATGACCAATAGCCAGAACTAAGGTGGATTAAGGGGAATTTCATTATTATCCAACTTTGACCTTGATACCCTTTTTCCACCTCCATTCACCTGTCCTACACGTGACTCTGGAAATTATTTTCTCTATTTCTTTTTTTTTTTTTTTTAAGATTTATTTATTTATTTATACAAGCACTGGGTATAGTCAGAAGCGCGGGAAGGTGAGAGAATTCACCAGAGCCAGAGCGGGGAACAGAACAGGCAGACTGATGAAGAAATACACTGCTGAGGGGAGCAGCGGGCACTGCAGGAGAGATCTGTCACGCCATGTGGGACCCTCACCAGCGGCGGCGGTCGGGAATAGAACAGCCACTGCAGAGGCTGCGGGCAGCTTCGCAGTCCAGCGCTCAACCACTGCGCCACCAGGGAAGGCCCTATTTCTTTTTGTTTTTTAAACTTGAAACAAGCAGAAAAATTTATTACTCTTGGGTTGCTTGAGACTATAAATCTTGATCAATGTTTAACGCAACATCAGATAGCATCAGCTCATCAAGCTCCTCCACTCTGCTCAAGTTAGGTGCCCGGTACAGGATGCTAATTTCAGCTAATGTTTTGCCTGATTCCTCTAAATGGGGGGCATCTTCACCCTTAACTATATTTTCCATATTCATTCTTGCCTCCTTCTCCATTATTTCTTCTATTTTCTTTAGTTCTTCTATTCTCACTCTCTCTTTTTCTTGCATTTCCAGCTCTAGCTGGAAGGCCAGTTGTTGTTCCTGAAACATGATCTCCTCTGCTTTGAACCTCTCCATCATTTCCTGCTCCATTAGAGCTATTTCTCTTTCACGTTCCAACTCCACCATTTCCTTTTCTCTTGCTTGCTCTGAGGTCACATTTTCCTTATACTTGTAAAGCCACAATGCTAAATATAATATTGGATCCACTGGATGTATTTTTGCCACTTCTGCAAGACCCTGAGTTAGACATGCCCCGAGATACTTTTGAAGATATGCTGACTCCATTCCTAATTCTTACACACAAACCACATCTGTGTCAACCAGTCAAGGACCAAAAGGCAAACACAGCTTCTTCACGTGTCTCTCTGCTCCATGTGCCTCCTCCAGGTATCCTTCTGGCTCTCCATCCTGCTTCCTTCCTTCCCCAGTCTCCTCTCCAGCTTCTTCTCTTCCCTGTTCAGCTCCACTCTTCCTTGGGTATCTTTTCTCCTATTTTAAGAAATTCTTTCCAAAATATAATCTTTATCTTTCCATCACAGTTTACAATAATTTCCCCTAAGTATAAATTAATCATTTTTTCCTACTTAAGACACATGTACTTGCAAATTGAAAACTTGAAGAATTTCTCCTCCGCAGGGTTGTTTGGTCAGTGGGAGGAGTTCCTCTATGTCCCATGGTCTCCTAAAGCAACAAGACCAACTGAAGCTTGGAACTGACTCATTCTGAATGATAGATGAGGTGTTTTGCAGTTGGATTCATCTAGTAAACTTAAGAATTCTTTGTTTTTTTCTCATACTCTACAGAGGCATTAAAATTAAAGAATAATTTTTTAATTTCTCACATGTCACCATTTTCCTACATTGTTTTAGGTAAATATTTCCCCATTCCCTTGCTACTGCCACCTATATTAATATTATTAATTTATTCATGCTGGCAATGAATCTTTCAAAGACAAGTCTGAGACTTTGAGATTTTTATCAAGAAAAGACTCACACCTATTAAATAAATGAAACATGTACTTGTTCTGAAAGATGCTTGAAATTTTAACAGTTAAGCTGTGAGTTTTATATTCCAGAAGTATGAATGCCACCAAACAGCCTCATCAATAAATACCAAGTGGAATAAAGTAAAGCATGTTCTTAGTGGCGAGAATACCGTATCCTTGTACAGAGAAATGAAGGAAGAAATCACAGCCATTTGAAGAGATAAGGATGCTGTTGTGGTCCCACCCACACAGGAAGACATTTACCATCTATGGTTGGCCACAGTGAGTGACATCTGCAATAAGGTGGTTTATAGGATATGAGTTGCTGTTCCTTCTGGCATAAGAAGTATCACTCATGTCTGGGTATAGGCAGAAAAAATTTAAGAAGTTCTGATTGTCCTGCACTTTGTCACTGCCAAAGTGAGTAGGGGTGTTCAAAGGTGTATTCCCTAACCTTGGTGAGCTCCAGCTATGCAGGTGGCATCCTGGTGACTTCATGGGCAGACTGGGCATCTACTGCAAACAGACCTGTGACTTTTGCTCCTACATGGTGGGAAGCAAAGGACTACAGAATTTGCCAAATGAAACTCTGAAAGGAACTCACCATTAATGATGGTAATCACTATTAGAGTTGGACTCTAAATACATCTGCTGAGGGTGTTTGAATCTTGAATCTTCAGCGATTACAAGGTGTAATTTTTTCAAATGTTTCATTGTAATGGACTGACTGAAGTCCTTGCCAATAGTTCTATTGGAATTGAGCCTATTATTTGTAGCCAGCCAAATTCTATCTAACTATTTTTAAATGCTTTTGTGAACTTGGGAAGGCCCTTCCCTCCTGCCTTTCCTCTCCCTCCCTTCTTCCCTTTCTTTCTTTTCTCTGGCTCTCTGAATCAAAAGGCCAAAGATTTACTCACCTATTTTGAATCAATGTCAAAATAACTTCAGTGAACAATTTGACAAGTCAATAATATCTCCAGTGTAAATTTGTACTGTTAATAATATGGTTGGTCATATAATTAATTTTTATTTTCAAAAAATTATAATGGGAATATAATAGGCAATACATGGTAAATAATCACAAAAGATAAAATAATGACAATAATGATAATCATTCTAACGACCCAATGGTACACTAGGATTCAAAATCAAGCATTATATAGATAACTATAATTAGGATTTGTAGGCCCTCTGGAAATATGGAAAGCTCTATAAAATCATAAACTTTATCATTATCCCTTAGCATCTTTCTAAGAAATTTTGTTGGTATGTTAATTTATCAGCCACACATGGAAGTTAAAGATTAGATATTTTCAGAATATTTTTGAATAACTAAGGTCTTTTTTTCTCCCAGAGACTCCTAGAAGTGAAAGGCACAATGGAGATATCTCCTTTTATTAATCAACATATGAATTCATTCCAAAATATTGGAGTGAGAACACATTTAGGATGATGTAGAATGTTTCAAATTCTGACATAAAGTGAGTCTCAGATATTTCTTTAGGTTTAACAAAAGAAAAATGATATTTGTGAAGTTCCTCATAAAAGCATAGATTTCGTTAATGACACATTTTAATTTGTGTTGATACAAATTCCCCATGAAGGCATTTTTTAGGGCCTTGCTCAGCTAAGGAAAGCCTGGAGGGAAGCTAACAGAACAAACAGGACAAGAGACGTAAGGTTCTAGCTCATTCTGCTGGTTGCAGGGCTCTTGTATAGTGGCTGCAAAAATTGCACAAGTCCAGAGAGGATTTAATAATATTCTTAAAAGCTCAAAAGCATTTTTGCCCTCCAGTAATGTTCTTATATTTGCTTTAGTTCACCACATTCTGAAAATAGATATTTGGTATATGTGCTGCCGAAGCGAGCACTGAAAATAGATATTTGGCTCTCAGTGTTTTTTCAAACCACAGAATAGTATTAGCTGTAATTTACATTTGAAAGTGCTGCTAAAATATGGTCACATCTGCATATGCCTCAAAAAATTTTGTTTAGCTTTTAAAAATAGTTCACCATGCTTTGGGAATTATTTTATATAGGATGATGAATTATAAACTCAGGTCATTAAAGAATTTCCTTGGTTCTAGGATAATGATATTGCATATAGGCTAATTCTACAATATTACTCTGGGATTGTGGAAAATAAACTCTAGGAGTTAGTCAGTGTGCTGAATGAAACCATACTCGCACTCATTCTCTGTCAATGACAATGACAATAATAATTGACATTCATTGAGTATTGTGCTAAGTACTTTACAATATCCAATGAAGTGATGATTCCTTTACCCACAGGTGGAAGAAATTGAGCCACAGATGTACCCAAGGTTAGAAACCTTGTAAGTAATAAACTGTGTCCTCACACCCATCTCTGTGACACACAATCTGGGCTCTTCACTATTCAGCTCCATCTTGTTTCAAAACCAGAACTATTCAATCTGCTCAAGCAATCAGTGCTTTCAGAATGGGACATGAGTAGATTATAAAGATTGTCTTTATACACACTTGCTTTCCAGTCTCCCTAGCTTGTTGGATTGCTTAAAAAAAGAGAAAGTTGCCAGAAAAACACACGTACAACTCTCCCCTTTGTCAGCAAAAAGCAGGCTCCCCAAGAACTCGGCCAAAGGGAAGCGGAAGACCATAAGATTATTCCCTCCGGACTGTGAGTGATGGGTCAGCCAACAAAGACAGAAAGAAGTACTGTGTTTGGAAGTGATGTCTATAAAAGGCCAGTTTTTTCTCACAAATCTACATGGCAATAGAAGTAATGAGAAAAGAAGATGCAGGAGGAGAAAAGCAGAGGGAGGGAGACATGGAGACGGCATCCGTCGTCAGAGCATCGGCACTGCTGACTGTTTTTAGAAGCAGTGACAGATACATTTGGCTGAAAACAGTAGAAAAACAAATTGTTTGAGACAGAAGACAGAACAGTTTTACTGCCATGGGGGACAATCAGCCACCTGTCTCATGTTTCTGCAGCAATTTGGGATCTGGGGCAGGAACTCCAACTGCTCAGAGGTCCTTGGTGCATCTGTGTGCCCTGCAGGGAGGTGACCCGGACAGAGGGCCCGGACGTGGAGCCCCAGTGATGCGATAAGGCTATTCCTATGGGTCTCCACCAGGTCTCCAGCACAGCCCATAACTGATTCCCACAGAGTCCCACCCTGCAGAGGCACCACTAGGAAGGGGAACTAGAGGACTTTCACACCCTTCTTCTCCATTTTGATAGGGGCAAATGCCAGATTGCTACCCTATGGCTCTCCCATGTAGAAACCTGCTATACAGTCTCCAAATGACTTACCACAAACTGTTTATAGGTGCCAGAAAAATGTCTGCCATGTTTTTAAAAAAGAGATTTCCATTGAGAAATAATTAAACCTTATAAAATGGCTGGCCTGCTATTTACAGAGAAAAGCACAGTGTCTCTCTCATTTCCCAAAGACAACTGTGATTTAATTTTCCATTGCTCTAGGGGATTCAAATGGCATTTTGAGTCCTGCTTTCCTGCTCCTAGCAGCTATGCACAAGGTGCCAGCTGACTGATGAAGCACGAAGGCCGGGACCTTCTCCACCTTCCTAGGAATGGGTAGAGATGCTTCTCTTTGTATCACACTTTTATCAGCCAGATGTGGTAGAGTGCTGAAGAGAAGATTCTAGACTCTGAAGCCAGGTTACCAGCACCAGGAGTCTGGATTCTTCGACCAGTTCTTACTATATGGTGGTGTGGTGTCCTCACTCTAGAATGCGGGCAACAGTAATAATGGCCTTGTAGAGTTGTTGTGAGGAATAAAGGAGCTGATCCTTGTAACACAATTTGTATTGAGCTGCTTCAAAGAAAGTGTCCCTTACTGTTACCTACTGCTATGATAACAGGCAGGGCTTGGTCGACAAGGATACTCATTTTGTGTTGCTGGCTGGGTAACTACAGAATCACATCTCACAGCATTTCTAGATGTTAATTCAGACAAGAAATGGCAACTCTAGAAGGATTTCTCATTAAGATCTAGCCTGACTATGTTGGATGACAAAGCTTATGGAACAAGACCATTTCCCAGGTTGCTGTAGTGAAGTGTGTAAGATTGATATCCCCTTGGTAACTTTCAGAGAAGTTTTTGGGTAAAAAACATTATCTTTCATAATGTCCCCACTTTCTTGCCTTACGTTTTAGGAATGACCAACTATGTTACTGGGAAACACAAAGTCCAGTGGCCTTTTGGGGAATTCAAAAGCAAACAGCTTCTATGTCTGCTAACTAACATTAGTATCCAGGAGCCTGGAAAATGATGAATTAGAGAAAGTCATCTAAGTAAAACTTGCTATCATTTGGCACTTTGTAGCTATGTATGACCTAGGCCCCAGTCCTTCACTCCCAAGTCCAATGTCCTGCATCACCATCAGTTCCGGTGGGATGGCTCCATGGGGTGTGGAAGTGTGCGGTTGTTTCAAAGTGAAACTGAGAGGGTTTTCCAGTTAGACCCACCACCATAAAACACTGATGGCCACTCTGGAAGAGTTGTTAAAATGCTTAGCCTTGGTCTGCTGTCCAAACCAATAGGTTGAGACTGAACATTAGAGGCCTGGGCACTTTTCCTTCCAAACTCCTGGTTCAGATTCAATGTTAAGACACACAGTTTTCTTTATCAAAGAATCTGCTGAGCCTCTTGCTGTCTCATCAGGAACTCTCAGGAACATGGCACTGCTACTGTGCCTGCAGAGGTCTGGCTGGTAAACTTCATCAGGGGGCACAGCCCTCACAAGTCTTTCTGGCTTGAATCACATCATCACAGCACAGCCTACTTCAATTCTACAGACCCCTTCAGTGTGACAGCTAGGTGAGCCACTAAGGAAGGGGAGAAAGGTTTATATTCCAGTCACAATGCTGCCTTGACTTGGGGCAAAGAAGAAGCAAATGTGTCATTTGTTTGGAGGAGCAGCAGGTGGGCAGGGGAGAAGGATGTTAAGAGGGGGTTTTCTTCATCTTTGGAGCCAGCTATCAAAGCTGCTCCCAGGACATGTTTGTGTTCATCAGACTGCCTGATTCCTTGTTTTCCTGGAAGAAACCCTGGAGCTCTGGGGTCCTGATATGTGTGTGGCACACGTTAAGGATTGCAGACTGCTGATCAAGGCTTAGCATTGCCAGTCTTGCTGCAAGTCTTGCCCAGACCTCATGCCCCGGTTGGCATCTGGCTTCTTGCCTTTTTCTGGTAACCATGAACTGGGTGCTGGCCTGCTGGAAGTTTCCCTGGCATTAAATATTAGTCCTAAATCTTGTAAGTTGTGTTCTATTATTTTTTTATGTTGAAACTCATCCTTATTTCTCCTAATGGAATCTCATTCTTTTAGAAATGGGGCTTTATAATCTTCAGGAACTGGAGTAGCTTACGGGTCATTCAGCAGGCACCTGTCCTTCTGAGGTTGTGTGTGTACACTGCTGCCCACTGGAGCTCTCTGATATCCACTGACACCAACAGATTTCCTGTGGTCAGACCTCACTTCTCCCTCTGCCCCAATGCCAGGCTAACACTGCATCCCACCCACCACCCACTGGAAGTCACCCTCAGGCTTCCTGGTCACATATGTGGACATCTACTGACTGACTCACTGTTTCTGAAATCCTTTTATCTGGGCTTTTCCCATGCACCCAGCCTGCTCTCACATCTTGATGCCCCCCACTAATACATGGGGTCTTAGATATTGCCAGGAGAACCAGTCCTTCTGTCAACAGAACTCCAGACTTGTAATCAATTGATTCTATATGATGACAAAAGCCTTTACTGCTGTCCAGTTGCATGGGATACTTCAGAAATTAGCACAGATCTTGTTTGTTTTCTGTAAAGATTCCATTTCTCCACTAAAAAATAGATTTTGTCTCTGTGTATATTTTGCCCCGGACACCCTGTCTAAAATTCCAGCCCCCATCCCCAGTTCTTATTTTCCCCATCCACTTCTCTTTTTTTGTTAGGACTTTTTTACTAATATGCTGCATATTTTACTGACTTATCTTGTTTACTTTAGCCAAGCCCCATGTGGGTTGAGATTTTAATTTATTTTATTATGCCTGTACTCTGAGCTATTCCTGGTCTAGAAGAATCTTTCAACAAATATTGGTGAGGTAGATGCAGGAGTGAGTGCTCAATGAAGGGCTGTGCTTATCAAGGCTTAGCCAGGTCACTGGCCAAGGCTGTGGGTTTCTTGTCCTTTGTCCAATAGAGGAAATTCTTCTAGCCGGGAGGCCCTACTTATTGGCTTTCTGCTCCCCCCAGGGCAAGGTGCTCACCTTCAGTTTGTGCTCATGCTCCTTGTTGACACGAGCAAGCAGCTGGGCTTTCCTTCTGTTGAGGGCATCAATGAGGGCGTCACACTGGGCCACCAGGCAGGCCTCAAACTCCACACTGTTCTCCTGCATGAGAGAGCACACACCTCAGCCATAGACACCTGTGTACCTCATGCACCAGAGAAACAGAGCCCCCCCATTTATGGGAAATTGCTACTGAGGGGGATAAAAAGTAACTCTGTCCTCAACACATATTTGGCATTTTAAACTAGCCAGATATATTTAATTCTATAGTGCTAGTGTTTTTTTTTTTTTTTAATAGAGGCATGCTTTATTTATTTTATTTATTTATTTATTTTGTTTGTTTGTTTGTTTGTTTATACATGCACTGGGTACAGTCAGAAGCGCGAGAGGGTGAGAGAATTCACCAGAGCCAGAGCGGGGAGCAGAGCAGGCAGAAGGACCGAAGTACACTGCTGGGGGGAGCAGCGGGCGGCAGGAGAGGTCTGCGCGCCATGTGGGACCCTCCTCCGGTGGCCGGGGAGCAGCCGAGGATCGAACCGGCGCCGCGGAGGCTGCGGGCAGCTTCGCAACCCAGCGCTCAACCGCTGCGCCACCGGGGAGGCCCCCTATAGTGCTAGTGTTTTGCTTTAAATTTAAATAGAAAAGGATAAATACTGCTTAATAAATTAATGTTTATAAAAAGGAAATCATCTCTGCTGTTTGAGTCATATTAAGTAAAGTGAAAGTTTAGTTTACAAAGTTGAACGTGAGTTCAGAGTGGACATGGAAGCTTGGCATAGGTCCATCTGTGTATGATGGAAGGTGGCATTCAGAAAGGCTGGTTGCCAGAGGAAGTGGGGCATTGTTAGGGCAAAGATTATTAAATCTGGGGAAAGAAAGAAGATGGCTATGATCTTCAATATATATATTAAAAAAAAACAATGATAATAGAAAGTTTATAAGAATAATGATAAGCAAAAGTACTTCCAACTTTATAAGGAAAGCAAATAGAAAGTGAAGGTAGATAATCTTATATGTAACAGGCATCACGCTACTGTAAAAATAAGACAAGTACCAACAGTTTATGGAGTAAAGGGAACTATGTTCTAAACCATGAAATATAGCTTTGCCATGCTGTTTAAATTGAATGATGGATCTAATTTTTTACTTGATTTAGATCTGTACACGTTATAGGTATTTCTTTTAAGCAATTATCTCATTAAGTCCATTAAAGGTAGTCCTTTCAATAAGTTACTTTGTAATTTCAATTCTCAAACCATAATCTGAAAAAAAATTAATTTCCAGAAAACAAAAGCAGAGTACCACACATACACTGACAACTAAAAAAACAGCATCCAATTGAGTAAACTGTAAATCTTTGGGGGCTAGCAAGGAAGGAATAGCTTAGCCTATAAAATTTTAATTTATTCCCAAATATATAAAGAATTGTGTCTCTTAATAATCCTCTGGTAGCTATTTGGTAACTGCTTTCAAGTTCAAGGTCTTCTTTGTATATATAAGATGTGCATTAGTGATTGCTTGAGCAATGACTTCAATAAATGCTAAATTTTGCTTTTATGGCAACTGCGTTTGCGTTCTCAGAGAAGCCCTCTGGAAAGCATCATACAAGAGCTCTCTATGTTCCATGCAGGGTAATACTGGGAGGGAGTGGGGGAGTCTTCTTGTAGGCCCTGATTTAGAGCAGAAAGAAAGCTTTGCTCTGATGAAGTGGCGAGGCAGAGAGGCAAGCCTGGGGCTGCACATTTTATGCCAGCAAAAGCAAAGAAGGGACTGATTGATAAACTCTATTGCTTTGGAAAACAGAAGGAAGTGTATACTATTAGGCTGTTAGGGAATCAAAAGTTTTAACATGGGCATGCATGCCAAAAAAATGGCAAAGAAATCACTGTGAGATGCTTTGAAAGGCTGGTTTACATTTAAAAGCCACTTCTGTCTTGACATGGATTAAATATTAGCTCAGAAAGCCTATTTACTGGAGGCCAGAGCTCAGGTTATTTCTGTGAGGCAAACCTCAAAACATAAGAATGGCAAATAGCACAGAAGGTCATTATTTTAGCATCTCATGCAGTTTATGGCTCCTTCCCCTTAGCTATATGGAAGAATTCATAAGCTCTCAAATGCTGTCTGATCAGTTAGGTCATTGTGTCCAAATAAGGCAATGTGAAATTCTAGTAAGCAGGGGTCATGGTTGAAGAATGCTTAACACCTGCTTAGGGGAAAAGAATTACTATAGGACCAGAAGGAAGGAAAGAAGAAAGGAGGGACTGAAAGGAAAGAAGTAAAGAACTGGGGAAGGGAAGATGGAAAGCAGAGTGAATACAGGTAGGTGATCTAAAAAGAAAAATGTGAACAATTTGTTACCATTAAATAAGATATTATTATTGCATGGTGTTTTGGGAACCTATAGAGTTAAAAAAAAAAAAACCCCTCAACAATAATGACTGAATTTATAGAGTCACCTGACAGAGGCCTCTTTCCACAGCTCCATTAGTAGAGAATTAGACCTCAGCGTGGAAGATAAATCATTCAGCGAACCAGGTTATGTTTCTGACTTGTTGGCAAAATGCAACACCTCAGGAAGGGGTAGCTTTAAAGTTAGTCTGTATGTGTCTTTGTACGTATTAGAAGAGACAGAAAAAATAAACAGGAATTCCCCACAACACATAAAAATAAACAGACAAAAGAGACAAACTTCCCCTTCCCCAGCTGCATCTTAACCCTTGAGGTTGTTCTACACTGCCAGTACCTGGATCTGCTGCACCATGTTGCGAAGCTGCACCAGAAACTCCTTGGCTTCTTTGGCCCTGTCTGACAGTCCATTTAGCGCCTGGGAGAGTTGACTCTGCAGAGACAAAGGAAACCATAAAGCTAAAATCACAGGAAGTGGTAACAAGGGGCTGTTTTGATCTAAGACCCAAGGGTCCTCCATTTGTACCTGACATTTTTACTTAACCAACATTTGTACATGAGAATTCTGGGAACAACAGCATCTGGACTCCTTCCATATATTCCTAAGTGGTTTTTCCCCTAAGGCAGTGAATACTTCCAACCATAGACCACTGCAGTCAAAAGCCCTCACCAGTTGACAGCTGCCCAGAATATCCTCATCTCTTTAAGTAATTATTTCAGGAATAATTTATTTAATGCCTATTATTTGCCAGGAATTTAAACAAAAGAACAGCAAGTCAGATGACTTGGCAATTATCAACATTTTTTTAATCCAAAGGGCTGTTGGGCTGGGGTTGGCAGAAAGAATTAGGGAGTGGAGAGCAGGTGAGGGAGGGAAGGGCTCGATCACTGATGAGCTATAAGTGTTTAGATAAAGAGCGAGATGACATCTCCGTCATCTTCTTTCTCCCAAGTACAGCCCTGTTGCCCTAACTCCTCACCACGCCAGCCTCCTAAACCCAGGTGAATCCCATCCTGTGGGGATGCACTTCTGTTGGGGAAGGGTAATGTGTCTAGGTGAGCACTTGCTTTCTAGCCTCACTGTCCGCTGAATGGCCACAGGACATGTTGCTGATTGGTGACACCTAAGAGTGAGTCGAATGGGAGCTGGCAGAGTCTGAGAAAACTTCTGCTCTTCTACTGACATGGCCCCAGTGTGGCTGATGCAACCTCTTGCTTTTTGTTCCCACTGGACTGGATGGCAGATGCCTATGACTCTCATGACAAGACCAGCATGGGAAGGGGGAGGGTTGGAAAGAGGAAGTCCTAAGTCAGGGAGCCACACTTGAAATCTCCTGCCACTAGGCTTCTTGTTATATGGGGGGAAAAAGCTTTTAGTTAAGTCCCTATATTGGAGTTTTCTATTACTTGCAGCCATTCTACTGTACTGGATCCAAAATTCCTTCTTTTAGCTGCCTAAGCATTTCCTTCCATCCCTCCTCTAAACTACAGTGACAAACTTCCAATTCCCATAACACCTTCTTTGAAAACTGAAATCGACACTTCTTCTTGCCAACACAATGCTTCATCTAGTCTTTAAAAAAAGGACAAAGCCTTAAAACTATAACTCCTGGTCCAATGAATGCTTTTCTCTTGTATTTGCCCTATTAAGTACTAAGTCAGGCATTGAATCTTTTTAAAAATATGCAAGTCAAACACTTGGTGGAAATAATGTGGGATGGTAGAAGGAACACAGGCATTGGAAAGGTTCAGATTCTGGCTCTGTGCCTTACTAAGTTTGGCATTGAGAAAATTATCTCTGTTTGAGTTACTCCAATGGAAAAAAATGGGAATAATAATAATACTTTGTAGTTGGGTTGCTGTGAGAGTTTAACGCATTAATCCACGTGAAAGCTCCTGCTAGTAAAGGGTAGTGAGCAAGGGAACTCTTTGGCATTCACAAAGTCTTCCAGTTACTGGCTGTTCAACCTTCTAAACATAGTTTTACCTCATCCATAAAATGAGAAGTTGTATTGCAGGAGGTGTTGTGTCTAAAGCCCAGAACCTGCTGGCACAGGGCACATGCTGAATCCTGTTGATTGGAATATCCCTTCCTCACCTTCTTCCTGCTCACAGATACCTGCTGACTGAAAGGGGGGATTCTTGGGGCAGATTTGGAACAAGGTCAGTTGGAGGATACCCTTCATCTCCTATATGTTGATCTGGCACCCAGACACTGGGAGGCTAGACCCACAACTGAGTAAGAAAAAGCACCCAGGAGCCTATAGTTGGGGTATAGGATACTTGACTGTTTATTACAAGGTCTCAGCTGCACCAAAATTTGGGGTAAAAGTTTTCTCTTTAAGAACTTTTTCCAGGGGATGAAGGAAGGAAGAGGGTCTCCTTACTGCCGAGACAATAAAATAAGAGATATATTCTAGAGGAGTTTTTTCATTGCTACTTTAGCACTTAGAGCTCTTCTTTGCTGAATGAGTAGATGTTTGTGGGGCTATCAGAGTTTCCTGCCTCTTTTTATTATTATAACATTACATAATATATAATATATTATAATCTACCCAATATATTTACATAATATATAAATATATTAATTAATCAATACATTAATGTATAATATATAAATATAATATTACAAAATTTATATTATACTGTATTAGTAAGATTGGAGGACAGAAGTCAAATTCATTCAGGTACACAGAACTGAAGCTACCTGACTTCTTGTATTCTAGCCTTGCAATTAACTGTCTATATAATATAAATCAGATGTGACATCATAAAGAATTATTGACCCCACGGGTTGCATACTTAGAGAAAAATTATTGTGTAGCTGTAGAAGAATGCTGGCCTTATCCTCTCCCAGGATTTTATATAGCAAAACAATGAGTGAACAACAAAAATCAGTTCATTTGCAGATTTCTTCCTTTTGTGTCTATGTTTGGTGCCCAAAATGCCTGCTACCCGGCTAATGGCTGTTCTGATAAATAATTGCAATATAAGATAAATACCAACTTGAAGCAATCAAGAAGGAGCCTGAAAAATCCTGGTAACTATTTATCACCAGAAAATTCTCTTATTGGAGGGTTTATAATGCATTGCTTTTATAGGATAGTCTTTTGATCACATTTATAAGCTACAGCTTATGTAGAAGAACATTATTATAGATTGATTTTGTTTCCCAGAAGCATTTAAATTCCTGCCCTGTGCTAACAGATGTTCTGTATTCAGGACCACAGAGCAGTCCTGTAAATTTATTACTGAGAACATTGGAGATGCAAATATTTCGGGTGTGTTTTTGTTCTGGCATCATGCGGTCAGTCATTAGAGGCTGTTTATAATGTCTAAGTAATGATGTCCTGATTTCTTGGATATTTGTTTTCCAATTTTCTGAAAAGGTGTGATGATCAAAAAGCGAATGAGAGTGGAAAATGATGTAGCCAAAGAAGCACTGACAAATTTCAAGTCAAGTCCTCAGGGCATGCTCTGAATAACCAAGATCTCCCAGAAAAATGAACTGTTTAGAGTGTAAAGGAGAGAAACAAAGAACTCTGCCTCTTCCCTCTCTCCTCGCCTCTCTGGCTTTTCTCTTTCAACTTCCACCAAGACTCTAGCTCCCCTCGCCTCCCAGCGCAGCGAATGTTACAGGAGATCAGGAGCTTCATCTGGGAGAGCACGTGGAGGATGTTTCAGGACCCATTATTATTTAGGCTTGTGAAATGAGTAATAGAATTCACTCCATCCTGATCAGTTCCTTCCTTGCCCGTGCATCCGCCCAGCTGCCGAGCATGCCCAGATGGAAGACAGTGTCTCCTTTCCATTTCCTGCTGTAAACATTATTCATGTGTCATCTCTCCCTGCCACTTACTGCAAATATCTGACAGCGACAAATTGGGACAAATGAAAGGAAGCTTCCTGGCTGTCTGGGATCTAAAGTTACAGGCGAGGGATGGGTCAAAAACAGTCAACCCAAAGAATTGGTACAAAGTAGATGAGTCGGCAAGCAAGTTAGGACAGTGATGACCCAGAAAACAACCTTGCTGCTTCTCCCTGCAGCTTGTCACAGTGCAGCTGCTCAGGACTTACACCCGCACCACCTCCTTCCCAGGTACCAAAGTCAACTTAAAACAAGGAGCAAAGTGAGAATGGATGCAGTGTGATTCTGAAGGAAGCATCTTTCTCCTCCCCCTACCTGTCCCCCTGAGGATAACAATTTTTCTTGAAGAAATACTGATTTTTGAGTCTCACTACCTTCCTGATATCATATGATGGAAAAGTAAGAGCAAGATATTAGAATAGTTACTATACATTGGCTATGTCTCATAATTCAGGAACTCTGATGGGCCCTTTTAATATGACTTAATTGATCCCAATCACTACCCCACCATTTTGTGATGGTTCAGAGATGACATACCTGAGTTAACATTTTACTACTCAAACCTGGAAAAGCTGAACCACAAACCCCAGTCTGATTCCAAAATCATACTCTTTGCTTCAACTTCCCAAAAAGGAGAATTCTTTCCTACCCATTCAGGAAGAAATAAAAACAATGCATTATGAGAGTATATAGAACCAAAAGTGAACTGATGAGGGATCATGATTGAGTTTGAGGAATTTTATTATGCTTACAGACAGATAAACCATAAACCATAGCATGGCTACTCATGAAATGTTCAACGTATTTTTTCCTGTGTGGAGTTTTTTGGTGAATTTGAATAAAACCCCTGTCAAAGAAAGAACTCTCATGGGAGAGGGTCAGTGACTTGGATCCAATGCTGGCTTTATCCTACTGACCTGAGGCCTTGGGCAGGGACTGGGCTAGGGGAGGTAAAGGAATAAGAATTTACAGAGTGACTAGTACTTGGGGAACCTTTAAGCTGGGGTCGATGACCTTTGAGCTAAAATGTCTTTATTTTAAAAGATTTATTTATTTATGTGTACAAGAAATGGGGTACAGGCCAGAGGTACAGCAGTGAGAGGATTCACCAGAGACAGAGCGGGGAACAGAACAGGCAGTCTGACTGAAATACACTGCTGAGGGGAGCAGCAGGTGAGACAGGAGAGGTCTGCTATGGCATATGGGTAGCTCCCTGGCTGGCCAGCAATCGAATTTGCAGTGCAGAGTCTGTGGATTACTTCACAGTGCTGTGTTTAACGCGTTGCACCACCAAGGAGGCCCCTGTAGCTAAAATTTCTATTCTTCCCGCTTACACCTTTCCTGCCACCACAAAAGGATGTCTCTTATGGTGGAAGATCAATGCAGTTGGATGAGTAGAAGCCTCAGAGGCTGGAGATGCCAACTTGTCCAAGCCCAGCAGCAGGAATAGGGTAGTGGACAAGCTGTGATCTGCCAAGTGATCGGTTGGGCCTGGGAACTGAATACACAGTCCAGTGTGTGTGTGTGTGTGTGTGTGTGTGTGTGTGTGTGTGTGTGTGAAATTG